AGTAAAGAGTTCAATATAATCAGAGGAACAAAGACAGGTGACCCTTTAAGTCCTATAAGTATGTTGAAGAGTCTCTCTCACTTTCCGGCGAAGATGCTGTGCAGGTGTATGAAGTTATAGAAAGTTATAAAGATTTATTGGAAAAAATAACAAGCTGCAAATTGCCTCTTGCTCTAAAGGCTAGTGCTTTAAATAACTTGGCTCTCGCGAAGATTCTCCACCATTTTTACAATACAAGGTTTACAGAGGAGCAGTTGGAACTCATGGAGAAGTCTTTGGTGAAGGCAGTTCGAAATATGTACGATTTGTAAAAAACAACAACACAGCTCATCATCTTCTTACCACGCGAGCACGGAGGGATTGGAGTTAAGCGTGTGTCAGATGTGTATAGGTCAACAAGGGTTGCATTTCTCATTAAGATGTTGAATCATCCCCAATTACAGTTCAAGAACATTGCACGTCAATCCCTTAATTTGGATATGGAAAAACGGAAAGTTGCTTCAACAGATAATGATATGAACTTCCTTGGGTTTGAGATTAGTGCAGACGGCTACCTGAATAGTCGTACCAATATTTGGGTGTTAATCAGATTGGCCAGATCTTCTGAGATATGCTAGAAAGCTAGATGTTTCCATTGAGTTCAGGCAAGGAAAGGCTGGAGTAATTATTAATAGTGAATTTTTTTATGAAGGTGCTCCACTTCAGAAGTTGCTATTCAAACAGACAGTTAATCGAGATTTGCAAAAAGCAAAGCAATTGTCAGTTCAAGGCCCCTTTCTCTGCATGACTGATGTTCAGTTGAAATCCTCCCGTTCAATTTTTTACAACTGGGAAGTAAGTGATTTACTGGTGAAGTTTGCAATAAAAGCACGGTTGAGTCTACTTCCAACAAACTTCACAAAGCATGTATGGAATTGTGATAATGACCCTTCTTGCCCTTTTTGCCATCAGCACACGGAAAATGTCGCACATCTGATGAATGGATGTAGAGAGTTTCACAACTTTTATAGTCGACGTCACAATCGCATTGCTGACAAAATATTTGAGGTGATCTCAGGAAGTATAAGTGGTTTCCAGTTTCATGCAAACAAACTTGCAGAATCAATAATAACGGAATATGGTGATGAATTACAGCGTATTACGCATCGTAAACCTGACATCATTATCATTGACAATTAGTCACGTAAATGCATTATCTTAGAGGTGACTGTCTGCTACGATCTGTATTTTGAGCAAGCGCTGAACACCAAATAGAAACGGTATCAGCCGCTGTGCAGTCTGATGCAGTTGTTAGGTTGGGAAGTGGATCTGAAAGTGCTTTGCTTTGGCTCACTTGGTTGCATCAAAAAGGATGTTTGGACTGTTATGAGATCATTGTCAGTAGATAAGTTGATTGTAAAGAGCACATTACAGTGGTGCTCGGTATCAAATTTGATAATGGCCAACTATATATGGAGACACAGGGTTAAGAAGTTATTCATGTGAATCTATTTTCTCTCGGCCCTTGCGTATGATCAGATACAATAAGTTCTATATTACATTTTCACATTGAATGACTTCTAAATCTTGTGTCTCACAGTTTATATGAAGTGATTATGTATGTGGTGGATAACACAAGCCTAGTAGACATACCTTTTATGTTAACTGAGCTTTTAGCTCGGACACTAGGGCAAATACGAATTTATTATTTTTTATTTAATTAAAGTAGGTGTATAAAGATAGCTACAGAATAAAAGCTAATTCAAGCCTACTACAAAGTAAAATTGTTTAAAAATTAAAAAGTAAAAATACATATATATTTAGCATAAAAAATGATTAAGTATATATACATATATACATATTTTACAATGTTTTTCAGCATTTTTTTGGCAGTTACAATACAATACATTTATCCATTCAAGAACCCAACCTGTGCCACGAAAGGTCTATACAGTGCACAGGTGCATTCCTCTTCTTTCCAAGATTTTATCCTCCTTTTAAAACTGGAGAGGGTTTCTGATTGTTCGTGTCATTGGAAAGTGCCTGCCACAATCTACTCCTTGGAAATGATATCGTCTCTAAGTCATAGCACGTAGTGCGCGCTTGTAGCAGTAGTAGATTGTGGCAGCTTCTTAATCCATAAGTACTGTGCTTTTCAATAAAGATATACTTCATGAAAGTAAGATTGAGCTCCCGTTTTGTTTTATAAATTTCAATCATCAACAGTTGTAAATTGCTGATGTGGATTGGGATCGCATTGTCTCTGAGTAACATTGTGTTGTAGTGATTTTAATATTGTAAATTAGGCTATATTCCTACATCATGCCATCACCATGACATCCACCTATGTCATTCACAGCCTCACCTAGCACAGGACATGCCCTTCACCATTGTACACACGTTCACACATCTATGTCATGCTGATTTCTTGTCACGTCTAGATCTTTCCTTCTCCATTGCATCATCATTACATCATCACAACACATCATTACTCAGCACATTTATTTTGTATATAAGTATGTTAATTTGTATGTAAGTCAGTCAAGTCAGTTCAGTTCAGTCAGATCAGAGTTATAAGCAATACACTGTCTCTCTCACTGGCTCCGTGTTCTCTGCACGTTAAATAAGATTCGTCGAAGCGAACACCAACGATGGAAAGTCACAGGATATGATAGGAACCATTGCAATTCATGCTACATAATATGTTTCCTATAGTGTCAAAATCTGAACTGGGACAAGATAAATGCCTTCATTATTCTCTTTAGGTGTTCAGTATCAAGAAAGTGAGAGATTCTCGAGAGAGCATGTAGCTTTTGCCCAGCCGTTTTGCAAATGGACCTCAATTGCTTTTTAAGCATAATGTTTTGTCCAGAATCACTCCAAGCAGCTTTTCTTCCGTGCTCTCTTTTATTCTGACACTTCCGATATTTAAAGAAATATCATTACTTTTTCTCAAAGACCATTAGATGGTATTTGCCCTCATTAAATTTCATACAGTTGTTCGGAAACCATTCTGCAATTTTAAGGGCATCACTCTCTAATGTTTCAATGATACTATCAATACTGTTGTCACAAGCATAGATAGTTGTATCATCTCCATAGTTACATATCTGAGCATCATTCACAAACATGAAGAGATCATGGAGGTATATGTTGAATAGAAGAGGTCCTAAGACCGAGCCCTGTGGTACACTAATTGTTGTTTCTCTTCATGTGCTGAAGGACCCATTCATCTTTACCCTCTGCTTCCTAAGCACTCAATTTAGCAATCAAAAGGCCATGATTCAAGCAATCAAAAGCCTTTCAGAGATCCATCAGTAGTGCTCCAGCGACACCCCCTTTATCTAAGGTCTTTTTGCAGGTTTCTATGAGTCGTAAAAGTGCATGTTGGGTTCCATATCCCTCTCGGAATCCACACAGAAGAGGAGAGAGGAAGCTAAGGGTATGAGGTTTTTCTGCCCCTTCATTACTCTCTCGTAAATTTTGGAAACAGACGATAGAACCGATATAGGTCTACAATTTTTCTTAATAAAGGCATCAAGACTTTTGAACAGGGACGAAACATCACCAGCTTTCAGTTCTTTTGGAAAATAGCACTCAGAAAAATTAGACCTGAAGATCTTCTGGATAAGGGCAGCAAAAATGTCTGCATTCTGTATGAAGAACTTAGCTGGGATGCTATTTAGGGGAGAAACCTTTTTGAATTCAGTTTTTGAATCTGTGAAAGTACCTCTTTAATAGTCACTGGTTTGAATTCAAACTTATTCAGTTCGCAGCTTTCTTTGATCTTTTTAATGCTGGGATGATTTTCATATTTTTTGATAGCTTTTTCCACTGGATCATTGATTCCATTAGTTGGTGAAAGCAATGTCTGGTCTTTGGAAATTCCCAGACTCTCTGTTATATTTGTGAAATAATAATTAAAAATTTCAGCAATTTTTGAACCCTCAGTTATCATTTGTCCATCTTCAATCAGAGTCACAGCTGAATTTGTTTGTATTTCATTTGAGAAAACAGGTTTGACAGTCTTCCCAAAACGGTCATCTGTTAGGTCTATAAGGTCAAGGTTCTTATAGTAATCAGATTTGGTCCTGGGCAGGAGTTTCACACAAAAGTTTATCTGCTTTTTAAAAGCTTCAAGATTCTCCTCAATTCTACTTTTGATGTATCTATTGCGTAATTTCTTGCGATGCATCATCGCTTTCCGTAAGGCCTTTGTCATTGTCATATAAGGGCCTTTGTCATATAATGTTTATAAAGTGTGTTTATAACTACAGCATCGAAAGCGCCATTATCATCGTTACCCTGCAATTCAGACGTAATGTGATCACAAAAATCCCTCCTAAAGTCTTCAGCACGGAATTTACTGTAATTTCTATATGTAATGATCTTGGGCCCTTTTCTTCCTATATCCACCTTTAAGTACAGTGACTATCATGGCATGGAAGTCCGACAGCCCTGTATGCACTGTTACAGTATTCTGTAAACTTATCTTCCTGTTCGTCAGGATCAGATCAATGCATCTAGGTCTGTCAGACCTAAAACAGGTCGGGCTCTTGACTAGATTAGATAAATCAAAATAAAGAAAAGACCACGATAGCAGGCTGCTTGACGGACTCCGATGGAATTTTTGCAACGAAAAATCGATAAAATGTAGTAAATAAATAACACCGCAACGCGACGAGAATGAACAATAACAAACACACGTAAGTCAGTTTTGGCTAATATTTCAGTAACGGCATACGGGGCTTCATCAGAGCAAAAGTAAATGGACTAGAAATGTGACATTCACGTGGTCCAATACTTTTGAAACGCTAGTGTAATCCTTTTGAACATATCTGATTTTATTTCTTCCAACTTTGCTAAAAATGAATTTAATATTGATCAGAATATTTTGTCTCTTACTTATTCTGAAACGAGATATTTTTTTATGGTTTTGGTAAGCTAGCACATGCCGATAAGATTATTCTTTAGTTTTTCTGTCGTTGTTTTTCCACAAAGGTTTTTATATTTTTCCACAGATGTATATCCGAATGAAAAGAAAGCCCTTATACTGCACCAAGGTCAAATAATGCCTTTTCCGGTATGTTTTTATCTGTCACACATTGATTTGACAACTGTATATAATATATTACCTACGTAAAGATTATATATCAATGAATAAGGCGGATCTCAATTAAAAGTTTTTAAAGGCAATCCATCCCTTAAGCTAGTTATTCATCAACGACAGCCACAAGCGTGAATTTCGCTCCCAGTGGCGTGGTGGCCGGGAGGCAGGGGGCACGTGCCCCTCCAGCGGCCAGGAATCGGGGGCGCCGAAGGCGATCTAACTCTTCAAAGGGACGTGAAAATCACGTGGAAAACCAAATTGAAGAGAAAGCAAAAAAAACCACTTGAAATAGCCGAGCTCTCAAGGGGCGCATATTTCGATATGAAGACTTCTTTCTCTCGTCTCTTTCTTTCTTCCTCCGCACTCCCGCGTCAATACGCCTTCTGTGCAATCAGTTCACAACCCTTGACGCTCTGGAACCCAGGGTAGGGATGGCATCCCAGCATCCCTTGACAGCCCACTAGAAGATACCGAACATCCGTAAGCAACCCACTGACTTACTTGACCTCACGGAGGTTGGAAATGAGACATAAATACGATTGGAAATTTTAACGATCAGATTTTAAAAAATGATGTTTCAACTTTACAGAGATACTTTGCCTTGTATTCTCAATAGAACTGTTCTTCGGTTAATATTATTATTATGCTCATGCCTTATTGTTAAACGTGTTCCTAAAATTTTGCAATACCTTTACCGTCTTCATGTCGTGGTCTTTTCAAATGCAAAACAGATAAAACCATGGTACATAATGATAAAAATAGCTTATTTTCTTTTATCTCCAGTGCGCCTTAATCGACGTGTGTTGTTTATATTTCGAGTGCAGTTTCCGGTCATCCCTAGAAAGTTTTACTTTCAAAATTTTTCTTGTCGCCAACCATGGTGGCGTCTTTTGCTAAACCCTTTTAGATTATTGAGATTTTTTGCGTATTGATAGAGATAAATTATGACATTTCCATGGATATTCCTGGCTTCTAATTTATGTTGTAAATATTTTAGATGAGTTTTTAGAGTTTCAAGAGCGTCATATTTGTAAAATTTTCCTTGCTGCTAAACATTGTGGCGCCCTTCATTAAACTCATATACGATCTAAACATTATGGCTTAATGATAAAAGAAAGTTTTTATGAATACTCCCAAGGATCTTTCTTCGACCTCAATCGATGTTCAATCTCGATCAATCAATCTTCAATCTTAATTCGAAAGATCCCTTTACTTTCAAGGACAATACTGTTTTAACGAACTTCCACAAGACATACGTCCCTGAAATCGCTTGTCATTCTTAAACCCAAGTTGAGAGAACATTTTTAATCGTAAGAGAGATTGTAAAGTAGAGAATGATTTTAAAGCTTTAGTTTCAAGATTCTGATTGTAAGTAACACCTTTTTCAAGTTTAGGTTTTTCTAATATTGTATATGTTTTCAGCAGGGACCTTATTGATAATAGCACTTTTGTGGCTGAAAAGGCAGCCCTGTATAAATAATTATATTATTATTATTATTATTTTTATTATTATTTTATTAGTATGTTGAAATCATTTTAGATGTTGTTTCCCGCAGTCCATATAATGTTACACTTTCAAAATATTTCTTCCCTTTATGAAATTTTTTGGTCATTTTGTCATTTTTTGCCTTGTTTAGTTTTGTCGCCTTACTTATTACCGAAGTTTACGTGGCATGAACAGTATTCGTTTTTCGATAACCATCTTTTTCGTATTTTTAGATATATTTGGATATGTTTTTGGTCAAAGAAGAAGAGAAACAACGAAATATTGAGGAGGCTCGCGAATACTGTAGACTGGCTGGCGAAGCTGCCGAGAGGATGTTCTTATATCGTGACTAGCAGATTGTCAAAAACCGTCAGTGTTTATTGTGATCATTTATCTTTCGTCAGTGTTTATTGTGATCAGTGCTTTACTATGATCAGTTTTCTAGCATTGGACTTTACTTTTGACGAATGGTTTGCATAGATAAGCACAGACACATCGTGGAGTGAGCTGCTCTCCAAGGAAAGGACAGTTGTTAAGAATTGTGTAAGTTTGTGAAAAATAAATGTCTTAATTGCGCACTCTTCATTTATTACCCAAGCCATTCTTGCCACTCTTTTCACAAAGATCTTATATCCAAAGCTTATTTTATAACCAAAGCTTATTTTGTAGCACTATTCAAATGAAAAAGAAATAGGTCGTTTGGAATCACGATTGCAGGCTCGGAATAAGCAAAAACCTTTCTAGATGCGCCAAATGGTCTCTTTGGCTAAGTATAGAAATAGTGGCAGGATTCTAGTAACCAAGCTTGTTTTGCAAAATTTATTTTGATCGCTTTGTTTCGTCCTATTTACAAAGGAAGGTGCTAAATGCATAAAGAATGAAATCCAATTTTCATCGTCGGCAGCCTGTTGCTCTAGCTGCAACAGAGAAAAGTGTAATGCTCCTCCAAAAATTTGTAATCATTAATCAATAAATTTTGCAATTGTAATCTCTACGTGTACTTGAAAACCTTACCTGCGAATATAATGTGTTTCATATTTCTCTGGTTGTGAAACTTAGCTACTAACAAGCTTCTTTATCATCAGAGGCAGACGCTTCTTGCATATAGATCCTCTTGTCACTTTCGATTCGCTTACTTCTCTTATCACCCTCTCAATTCTTTATCAATACCTCGCCTTTTTGTTGCTTCGTCAAAGCAGTCCTCCCTCCACATCATGTAAAGCGCGTTTTTTGGGGGCCGGACGCTCTCGAATCCTAATTTTATTTTGAACAGGGAACAGTTCCAAAAAACCAGGGAAAGTGCCCGACCTTTGTTTTTAAAATGATCATCATTTTCTTTTTTGATTGCAGAATATTCTTAGACCTTACAAGATTTTTTACAAAACAAGGGATGCTATGTGATCGTCATGATTTTGAAAGTTGTATAAGAGACAATTTTTATTTTTTTATAGACCATGAGTTATATTTATTAATAGCTTCTTCGACGCTATCAAAATTGAGAATCAACATCAACTCAAAACTTTTTTCTTTGTTATAAAACTAAGAAACGTGAGTAAAACGTAATTTGTAGAAGTATTTTGTTAAAAATTTTCAATTTTGAATACTTTTTAAGACATCATAGCTTTCATTGTCGAAGTTCAAACATGAAGCGACGTAGATATTGCTTTAAGTGTGATTCTAACCTTCTTAAGAAATTTATAGAAGCTTCATCCATCAAGCCTGAAGGTTCTAATGAAAAAATTGCGGTTTGCATTCGCCACTGTTTTCACCGTTATAATCGACGAGAGATCTGGGTCAACAAACATAAAGCCCTTGCCTCCTTACGGCCAGAAGTTGTTGCCTACTTACAGCCAGAAATTGCTCAGGAAGTTGGCGATTCCCTCATCAATCCTCCTGCTTACCAGCCATACGTCCAGCTAAAAGCAGGGCTCATAAGCGCACATCGGCTTCCGAACAATAGCGCCTTTACCAGGTGAAAAAAAACATTAAGAGCTCATCCGCCCTGTGAGAATGTTCAAATCAATTAGTACCATAAGATGCCACAAGATAGCTCAATAATCTGGAGCTGCCAATCATGCAAAGCCCCAGAGCAAATCACTCAAAGCGAAAAGACTGAAACGGTTGCCAATGAACAGTACAGCTTCAGGGCTTTACAGTTTTGTTTCAAAAAGGAAAAAGAGAGTTCTGAGCACTGCACAAATCAACTGAAATGGAATCTTGACATGTACAAACTTTGAAGAAATTAAAATCCTGCTACTTCACGCTAAAAAGGACATCTTTGGCATAACCGATACTACTCTTCCACTCTTTTGCATAAAAAAGTGGCAGATAAGGACCTGGAGATAATAGGATACAAATTTCCCAGCGGAAGAGGATGCATGATATTCTACAAAGATGAGTTAAACATCATCGAAAAAAAGCAAAGTAAAGATCATGACAATATTGAAGCATTCTGGGCCGATGTAGTAATGCACTCGCAAGAAGTATCAATAGCAGTTGTATGTAGATCACCAGATAACAGAGAATTCTTTCCATTGTTTGGACAACACAGTACCTGAAAACAACAAGAAAAATATCTCGATTACGGGAGATCAAAACAGTGATTTATTTAAAAACAAAGCCAATGGGAAAAAGCTCAGAAAATTAATATAGAGAAACTGTCTAGAGAATATAATAAATGAACAAAACAAGGATCACAGATTCAACAAAGACCCTAATTGATGTAATGGTCGTAAGCAATAAAGATAAAGTTGTTTCGGCAGGAATAATAGATGTTTTTCTAGCTAATCATAGAATGAAATACTGCATCCTATGGTACCAAAGGAAAAGCCCTTGGCATTCTTGTAACGATGATGTTGACGACAACCTGTGGATGGTAGAGAAACTGGATAAGAAGTAGTGAGAGAGGCTATGCCAAAAAGAAAAGATCCGGTCACAGTCTCTCTCTTTGATTAGGATGATTAGAAAAATCGGAAAATTAACGAATCAGCGATATGCATTACTCTGGAGGGCAAATCAGACCAGAGATTCAAAGTAGAGGGATGAGTACAAAAGAATGAGGAGCTGGAAACATGGAAACAAAAGCTAGCAGAAGTAGACAAGGGCAGTCCTGATTTCTGGAGAACAGTGAAAGTCATGAGAGGTAGCGGGGAGATAAAAAAGTTAATAGGACCAATAAAAATTGATACCAGCAGGTAGCACAAGGTATGAATAAATTTGTGTTAGCACAGGAGGGCAGGTTGCTAGCAAATTCGAGAAAACCAGCAAGGATGAAGCACAATGCATCTGCAAAGTAACATCAACGATGTCTCAACTGTATCTCACAACTGAGAAGTTTATAGAAAAACTAAAAATGTTGAATCCTAAGAAAGCAGGCCACGATAATATCTCTTCAAGAGAACTGACATTGCTTTCTGAGAATATGAGTCCATTTTTGTCTAGTGTTTGCCGACAAAGTTACCTTGAGGGGAACTTTCCAACTAAATGGAAGATTGGCAAGCTGAAACCAGCCTACAAGGCTGGGAAGAGAATAGAGAGGAGGGAATTACCGACCACTGGCCATGCTATCCATTCCCAGCAAGATATTTGAAGCAGTTTTATGTTGCCAACTCGATGTTCAAGTAAACTTACCAGACAAAGAAAGCAATGGGAATACAGGAAAACACATGTTGCTACCGTATCTATCAGAAATCTTGCAAACAGTTGGAGTTCTATTAATCAACTGCAGTAAAGCATTCGATTCAATAGATCACCAAAGTTTGAAACAAAAAGGAGAAATTGGAATTACTGGCCAACTTTACCTTTAAATAGAAAGTTGCTTGGAAGAGAGGCAGCAATTTATGGAACAGCATCTGAACTGAAATCTACAACAACAACAAATCTAAAAATGCTAGTAAAGTCTTCAGTTTGCAAAAATTTGAAAAAACTCCTGACCAAGAAATGTAACATTTTTACGTAACTTTCGAAAAAGGAACATTAACACATTTTTATTTGCATGTCCACATCAATCAACTTGAGATTGACACATTTTAACCTGCATTGCTAAATGAATAATGTATGTATGAATGCATGTATGTATGTATGGGATCACGATTTTCATGGCAGTAAAAATTCATGAAGAAGAAATGAAAAGTGACAAAACAAAGTGCCTCCACTCTAAACATTTTTATTGCATTATCCAACTGCTAACGCGATATATGCCCTTTAAACTTCATCTTTAGTTATTCTCTTCCTTTTACTTATTTCTGGACAGTGTTAAGGTGTTTTTCAATCTTTTTCTTTGCACTATACAAGATAAATCTATACTTGCTCTAGGCTTTGTAAGAATCTCTAAAAAGGTATCTTCAAAAGCAAATGAAATCAACTTTAACGAAAAGCAAAAAAATTGTTTTTTCGTCACTAAGAAAAAGTGTGATCAGAACTCATTTTAAAAATGCAAAAAATCGTTTCATTTCAAACCAAGATTTCTGGAGTCTTCTCAAACCCTTTCTCTTCAATAAATGGGTTCCATGGTTATGAAGTTTCCCTTGTCAAAGAAGATAGAATCATATTTGATGATAAAGACCTGCCAAAACTTTTTTCGCTATCTCAAAAACGTCGTAGAAACACATTCCAGACGATCAGCATACAGTTCAACTGATTTTTTAGAAACACCAAAATCAGTCTAGTTAACTAGCTGTTTTCCGTTCCGTTCAATCTCTTGCTGTATATAAATGTTATGACATCAACGGATAAAGACAAAACACCCCCTAAACTTGTCCGTTTAGCTGTGTATGGGCTACCCAGTCCACAAATAAAAGCCATAAACCCTAGTATTCAAAACAGCAGTCTCACCAATTCCCAAAGGCCGACCTATTCGGACAGAAGAAAAAAATTTTCGCCTCGTAAGTGTGCTTAACACATTTTCCAAGATGTACGAAAAGATAATAAAATATCAAGCTAGTCCACATCTCGAGAAAACACTGTCTAGATTTATTTCTGTTAAATTTTTGAACCAAATTGCAATTGACTTATTGTCAAGCGGAAATTTCGTACCCTTCACCGTCCAAAATAATCTGTCAATTAACGTCCCTGCTTCTACTGTATCCTGCACGATCTTTATCAGGATTACCTGAAGGGTCAGTCTGACGTCTCATTCTTTTCGTTTTTTACATCAATGACCTGTTTTGTTTCATCAAAGGAGTTCCTCTTGTAAACAACGCAGATTACAGTATTTTAACCCATTTCAACACAAGCCTGCCGCAGCTAGTTAATGTTTTGAAAAAGAGGCGAACATCAATAATCAAGAGGACTGTATTTCCTTGCGTTTCCCCGTGTTCTGTCTGTTTATTTATCGGGTAAAGCACATCGCCAATAGAATAACTGATAAAGAATATTATTGATACATAATTATATAGTGTTTATATCGCAAATAAATACATGCGAGGTAGTCAATTTAACTACATAGAATAACGTTTTGATATTAATATGCCATCTTACCTGTGAAAATTAGAGGTCTTGATTTTCTTGATGTTTGATTTCTAATATTAACATACGTTGAAGATTTTTAACAATTTGATCATTTAAGATTGTTAATTCGAAGAAGAAGATTGCTTCCAACAAGTTCCAACAACAATGAAAACAAAAGAATATGTGAAAACATGAAAACGAGATAAAGTTTTTATTCAAATCTTCAAAATTTTCCACGAAATAAAATTGATTATCTTATTTATCCTGTTTATTAGAGATTGAAAGACATTTGTGTGTTTCTTTGTTTTTGGTTTTATTTCTGATTCAGATTAATGTCAACAATCTATTTCCACAATGAACGGTTGAGTTTTGCCAAATTTGTACACCAGTAGATGCCTCCCAACAGGTTACGGAGATCGCAAGGAATACAAATCCCGTCTCGAATTTCCAGTTGCCACCGAGTTTAATGAGCGATTTAAAATTCAAACAAGAAGAAGGCATAAAACGATACGCTGTACGTTTTCTTAGTTTGAAGATCCTGTGCACGAGCAGCTGCTAATAAATATCGTAATTCCTTGATAAATAGAAATAATTGAACGCTGACAAGGTGTATGTCCTATACATTCTATGCTATTCATTGTGCAATAAAATATTCACGTTTAGACTTTGCATTTTGGTAGCTGCTTTCACATTGTAATTTGCTTATCGTGAGGCGTTGCCAGATACAGCTCAAGGTATTCTATTATGTTACTAGAATTCAAAGGGGATTGAGGCGACCAACGCCGAGCGCTATTTTTTTTGCCTTGGCAACAACAGGTGGCTCTCTCTTTGATAAAATGAAAATTTACAGAGCTTTGTTGATCCTCGCGTTTTAAAAGAGGAAAAGCCATTTCATAGGTTGGGTGCATCACTTTGCCGGAATATACCATCTTCCTCCAGGATTTTTTGCAACTCAAAATGAGCCAACGATTTTCTGCTTTGCATTGGAAACTTTTTTAGAAGAGTGCCAAAGAAATTCTAAATTGTGTCATGGAAGGCAGAAGCAGGTAAATGCTTCATATTACCGATTTTCTTTTATACCAAATATCTGGTTCTCTTTTATGCAAGATGTCTTAAACGAGTGATCACTTTACTTGGAAGATTAAGCTGTAAAAACAATATCTCTATCATTTTATCTGCAAACATGTCGGGACACAATCAGAAAATCGTTTTATATCAATTCTATTGCTTGTGTAGATCAGAACAACAAGAGGCAAACCCACACGATAGTATACATATCTATGAAGCGATAGCAATGGTGAAGAAACTTGGTTTATCCGTTAAAAAAGACCAAGAAAAAGTGATAAATTTGTGCATAGAGCTTGCAACGCTCAAGCAAGAAATAAACAGGTGATTTTTCTTCGTGTGATGGTATCTTGTTATGGTAACTTATGATATTAATTTCATATTAAAGGTATCTTTAGATAAGGTGTATTGTTGACGTGAGTTGAATTTGCATCTTTTGATCATTTTGATCATCAATTTGCTCCATATGTTGTTAAAAAAGAATAAAAACAGCAAACGCATGGTGTAGAACTGCTAAACCAACTTGATAGCATCAACTTAAAAAATGCTAACACCAACACTTTCTTGTTTCGTTGAAAAATCGGTGTCATGACAATGATGTTGCTATACATGCTTGAAACACATTAAAAAGTCTTTTTTAATCTTACTTGTTTCTGGGTAACACTTCGAACTGTCTAGCAAATGCACAGTGATTTATGAATTACTTTGTTAAATTGCATGGATTGTTATAACTTGTGTTGTATGCGAACAGAATGCGAAACATGCTTGGTCTGAAAAATGGGAGAATAAAGAAACTTAAGAAGCAGTTAAAAGAAAATAGGATATCAGCAGGGAGCGAAGATGATGAAACTGAATCGGTGAGTGTGTTCTGGCAAGAGTAACTAAAGTACCTTCAGGTACCTAAAGTACATTTAAAAAAGACATACATGTTTGGAATGGAGACAAATGTAGCTGTAAAATATGTAAATAGGTAGATTAATACCTCTCATTAAATCTCCTCTCATTAATGCAAGCAAAGTGCCATTAAATTCATTTTCATAAAAAATATCCTTGAAAGCAGCAGTATTCTGATGCCATGGTTTGTATTATAAAGGAAGTGTTGAATTTATTTCAGTCATGACTTGATTCCTTTTCTGTTTTGTACCAAGTGATGACAGTGATTTTCAAGTATCACTGGCACAATGGCGCATGTTATATATAATATCAATGGCGCATATCAAATTCGAACTGTCTTCAAGCACTATATCCTGGCAGCACGAAATAATTGCATTCGTTTTTTATCTGAACCTAAAATACACTGCACATATTGGGGTCACAGTATTCAAGATTGGCTCCCAGTAAAGCACAGGATAGAGCGTTTGTGTCAACGTTATGAAATTTAGTTTCAAAGCGTATAGTGTGGAGATAATTCATCCGGTCAACCAGAGCCGAACAACGCGAAGATTAAAGTTTAAACTAGGCCTGCCATTTCGAAAAGAAATACCGGACAAACGTGCCTATCCTACCTAGGGCCCAGAACATCGAATAGTCTTCCATCAGCACTAAAATCGACATCCAATATCAACACCTTCAAGAATGAGGTCAACGAGATCTTTTAATAATATAGTTAAAAAAGGAAGATGGCATGTATGTCTGCTACTAGGGGACGGTTTGTAACTAACAAGAGTCAAAAATTCCGAATTAACAACAGTCGAAAATTCCATTCCTGTATCGTTCTTGTTTTTCCTTGATTTTTCCTGTTAAACCAGCATCTCTAAGGGGACCATTATGGAAATAAGGTCAGCTTGACTTTTTAATGCTACCTCTGCCACTGAAATTATGGTTGTTTATCGTTGTTTTTGATTTACATAATTGTATTTTAATCTTTTAACTTTTGTAACCTGTAAATATAATGATTGTGGTGAATTATAAATACATACATACATACATACATACATACATACATACATACATACATACATACATACATACATACATACATACATACATACATACATACATACATACATACATACATACAAACATACATACATACATACATACATACATACATATATCTTGAACTTTTGTTTTTGGCGTAAGAATAGACTTGATTGTAAATATAAATTTTGATAACTTCTAGGTACAATTTGACTCAGCAGAAAATGCATACAATATTGGTAGATGTGACGAGTTTACTCAAACAGATATTCTTGAATTAGTAGAAGAAGCTACAATGACAGACGACCGGACGGTTGATCTAAAGGATCAACATACGATGACAGACGACCATAAATTGGGGCACAAGGATGCAGCCGCCATGACAGAGAGCCTTTCGGTGGAAAATCGAGACCAAAGTACATCAACCGATATAAGCGAAGAGAGGCAAGAGAACAAAGATGATTATGAAGCACCTCTAGTCAGTTCTTTCATACAAACGGATGATGCTGAAACTGCTGAAATCGGAACCCAGACTCATGAACATAATAATGCCAATAGCTCCCAAACAGATCCTGTTGTTTCACATACAATGAACACCATTAAATATGCTTGTAGTATGATTGAGCATTCACTCAACTTCCAAAAAGAGCTGTACAGAACGAACGTTTTAACGCAAACGGACCAAGAAAATATGATTGACAAATGGGAAGAGCGCAACGTACGTTAGTCAATTCTGTTTACAAATTTATGACATACAAGAGTCAGATCAATTTCTCTACCAAACTTCGCATGGGTCCTCGTCAACAGTTTAACTTAACTGGGCACTAACTTTTTTAAGTAGAGGAAGATTCTGTTATCAGCAAGGGCCGGAGAAAGCAGGAAACTTTCAGGAAATTATTTACTTTGTTCTTTCTGCCTGTTTTCATTTTATAAGCCTTGCTTTCCCAGTATAGGGATTGTATGGTAAAAGTTTTATGAACCTAAACAGTGACACAACGCACCTCTTCTGTTAGGGCACATTGGCTGGGGCACAAAGGTTCTTGTAGAAAAAAAATTTATTGATTCTCAGAGAATTTTTCCCATTTTGATTCTAAGGGTTCTGCAGACAGCTCCTCAAAACTACCTCCAATCATAAGAGATGGGTCATCAAAAGCTCAAAGGTAGGTTTCTTGCCTCTTTGGACAATTTTTTAATTCGTCGATTTAGGAGAGAATTTTCAACACTAATCTGCCTTTTGCTTGCCTATTAAATAGTGTTACACAACTAATCAATACTGCCAGAGCAAGGCGACCTCCTCTTAGATTGTAGATTAGAACAAAGAGAAATAAGGCTGCCTGATGGACTAAAATAAAGCCGCAAAATCAATAGAATAGGATAAATTAAAAATGTAAATTTGAATTGAAACGGTTTAGACTGAACAATAGTATATTCTAAAAAACCAAAACAAAACTTGGTCTTCATAATTCATCTAACCTTAATTTACACTTTAGAATATTAAATAAGTCATATAAAGCTGAAGGAAAGAATCAAAAGCTGGAAACGTGAAGCCGTTCTTCGTCTTCTCTCATATCCACTTTCAAAGAACTTATAGAAACAAATGTACGCAATTTTCAATTGATATTGAAAGCTATCAATGCTTTCCAGAGAAACTTTCAATCGCTGGCATGGTCAATTCAACATGGAACCTTGGCTCTGTTTGTCAGGCTGTTCTCAGGACAAAAATGTTTTTATGTGTGCAATTGCTTCTTATTCGAAAGGAATTATGACCCATCTAGAGAGAAATTAGTATCAAATAACAAAGTTAACATTGTCTCAACGACTTTATGAGCAAACTTATCGGATGGTAAAACAAACGAACCATCTATTCAGAAAGTACAAGAGGCACCGTGCGACCAAATTTATTTTGTTGCACCGATGGTATAGCTCATTTGACGAAATGGAATTTTTGTAACAACTTTTTACACCGAATAATCTCAGGGGACAAAAAATTATCCACTAACTTGGAAATTCAGAGTGGCTGCCAGATTTCTGCGTGGAATACATTTTTCTTGGTACTGTGTCGAGCTACCAATGTCAAGATCTTAGTGTAGCCTGTGACATTATCATTATTGACTGGTTGTTGTCGTCTAAAATTTGACCGAGATACTCTTCATCTACTCGGATTTATTCCCTCCCTGGCTGCTTTTCTTGCCCGGTAGTTTATTTTCTTATCCGATGAAAGCTTTCATACAATCTACTATTTTAATTAAAACCTTTTAGAAAATTGACTGAAAGATAAGAAGCTGAACAACATTTTATGACTTCCCATAATTCCCAAAGTCAAAACTTTTAATCAGCTGGTCTCGTTGCACCGAATACCCTAGGCAGTCTAAGTGATGGAAGCCCTTTTTGACAGAAAAAGCAAATAGATTCGATATGGGCTTTGGTAAACAGAGTTTCCCGTTATTTGAAGGAGTTTTTTATGAAGCCCCGAGACAGAATGCTTCTGCTGGTATCTAGGTAATATCATAGAGAACGTTAGCAATATTTATTATTTGGCAATTCTTTAAGGCTTTTTCTTGCTACTGTCCTACATTTTTTATTCTATTTGCAGGGCGTTAGGGAATAACAAAAACAGTCACTATCATAAGCAGTGCATTCCACCAAAAAAAAGAGGGAAAACCTGGATATTCTAGAAGAAGTGTCACAATTGCAGCAGAGGTAGCAGGCGGAGCCACATCTTATCGGAAGCGAAGAACTTTGGTGCCCAAGTAACCGACCGACACAATTGAACTGACCCTACACACACGAAGTTCTGCAATGATAATTAAATAAATTTAACCATTTTCAACAGGCGTTAGCTAAAAGCAATTCTGGTAAAAGTTTAAACCAGCCACTCGAATCATCTAGTAGCCTAGTCATTTTCTTGTTAATGTTATAAAATGATAAAACGTTGTCAACGTTTTTATTCTAAAGCAAAATAATTCTCGAACTGTACTTCATTATACACTCACATCGATGATACTGGTAGAGAGAGAGCCTTTGGGGATAGGATTACTTGAAAGGTCTCTACTCAGAAGAGGACACGTTACTTAACTCCATTGAAACATTAAAATCTATTTCTGCAAAAGCAAAACTTTACTAGAATAAAGCGTAAGCGAAAATAAAATAAATTGGAAACAAATGATTTGGGCAAAAAAATTCATTATATGTCTTAGAAAGATATTGTTCTTCGAGGACGCTCCCTAAAGGTCAATTGACTTTTCTCTTTAGCAACCTGTTTACTTCTATGAAAAATAACATTTAAACTCAAAGATAACCACTATTACTGACGTAGATCACTGTCTATAATGTTTACATTTTACATTATTAAAGACAAAGCATTTTCAGTTTCTGACCAGGTCAGGCGAAACATTCCCCTTTAAAATGTTTGATTTGAAAAGAATCGAAAAGTAGCTTCACAGTAGTAACAAAAATAGGAACAAGATTCTAATTGGATCCGAATTACGGTCCTCAGGTCAACCGATCAAGCAATATAATCTCTATTCACAAAGCAGCACATTGAAAGACAACAAAATTTCAAATTTTACGTGTTAGTTTAGCCTTATGAAGACCCTTCGTTGGGTCAAAGTATTTGGCAATGTCGTCAGACACTGAAGTTTCTTGTTTCATTCTTGCCTCGATAGCTTTTAGGCTTGCAGCGGCAACAACAGTAGGCCGCATCCCCATTTCTGGTCTGTACTCAATGACGTTCTTCCCTGTTCTCTCTGCTAGCTCCTGATGTGTTTCCTGATTAAGAACAAAACAAAAAGCGATCTGAAGAGCAACTGTGAAATTTCAATGAAATGCCAATAAAAGACCCAAAAATCCACAAAAGCTTGCATTAATTGATAATGTTATTAAATAGAAGGATATAAAAATCAGTCTTATAAAGACTATATGCTCCCCTCACAAAAGTATTGCACCACCTCGAAGGAGGGAAAATGGCGCAAGAACTATCGAAAGCTGTTGTTGTGCGAATTCGTTGTGTTTTTAAGTGGCGAATGGGAGTGGGTCGGAAGTGAAACAACCACCAATCAAAGCTTCAATCTTTTTCGAGCACTTTTTTTAAAATAACAGTTTCAAAACGTCTTTAACAGTTTCAAATTTTAATATTTTGACGGGAGCTATGAACTTTTGAAACCGCTTTATGCCTTCTTGAATTGGTTGCATAAATTGTGGAATTTCATGCCAAACTTGAAAAATTCTTTTAATTAACGATTCTTTGGTTCTCCAAGAACCTTCTAAATCATGGTTCGTAATTTTATTCATACGAAGCCAAACATTTTCAGCGATGTACAAATCTAGACTTGAAGGACGCCACGGAAAAACTTGAATTCTTCTTATTTGGAAATAAATCGTTGTAAAAATGGTTTCCTTTTATGCAGGTGAATTTTTATTTTATACTTGTGTAAGACACTCATTATTTTTTGTTTGGAAGAATTTTGAGCTGCAAAAAATTGCTCAGTGTCGATTTTCATGTCTTTTATTGTTCCTTGGTGTAAACATGGTGAAATAAAACAGACAAATTCGCTCCCCCTTTAACGTCAATTTTTTTTGTTCACCCACTTCTCGGTTTATTACTACTGAAACACTCTCGAGAAACCTTTTTTGATTTATTGAAGCTGTTGTGTGGCTGCATCTAAATTGGTCAACAATTTGACAAAAATTAAAGACCACTTTCCTGTAAAAATTTTATAGGGACTCGCCTCTCATTTGACAAATTTTCTCCCTTAAGCATGGTCTACATTTTGTCAAACAATAATGTTTTTGCGTAATATTTACATTTCTAACTAGGTATTTTATGGCGTCAGCAAAATTTGCAAACTTTCTCACCCAATTCATGCATTCAAATTTTTGTTTTGTATTGTCAAAATGTTGACAAAAAGTGCCGCCATTTTGAACAAAGTGGTGCAATACTTTTGTATGGTAAATCGTCATGTGACATTTCAAAAAAAATATAATTTTTCTTAATTGCATTTTCATGAAGAAAACCGTTATTTAAAAATCCAATTTGTTATTTTTTTCATCTAACTTTCCGGACCAGTTTTCAGGCCCTAGCGAAAAAATATCTACATTTGCTGCGACTCACTTGGCACTCCAAGCCTTGGAAAGTAGCTCTAACAATCCTCTGCGGTGTATTCGACCCAATTAGTTTGCATCTCATGTCTTTGATTCCAGCTAATTCTGCGATTGCTTTAATTATTCTTTGACATCTTAAGCCATAGCCTGCCACAAAGAGGTGCATGAAACAGTCAAAAAAGAAGGCAAATTTTTAGGGAGTCTTAAATCATGCCATTCCTAAACAAGCCTTGGGGTTATATATTTAAGTGAAAAGAAAAATTTAAGTGGAGAAAACAGAATAGGTTACCTGGTGGCCTGCGCTCGAAAAATATTTTTGTTGCTTCATGCTGCGTCCATAAATCGTGGAAAACTAGCAAACAGAAAAAGCACATTTCAGCAATAACCAAGTGACAACGAACCCGAAAGGATATCTTTATATATCTAAAGTTATATATCAAATCTTATATACCTAATTGTACATATCTAATTTGTAACAGTATGCAAGTTCAGGTTTTTGTTGGGTAACCGCGAACTTTTACAGAAAATATTTGCTATTTAAATGTGATCTATATAATCACTTTCAATAATTAGGTATGGCATGAGCCTAACCCTTGACTATGGACGAGCCTAACCCTTGACAATGGATGAGCCCAACCCTTGACTATCGCATGAGCCTAACCCTTGAATATGGCATGAGCCTAACCCTTGACTATGGCATGAGCCTGACCCTTGAATATGGCATGAGCCCAACCCTTGACTATAGATGAGCCTAACCCTTGACTATGGATGAGCCTAACCCTTAAATATGGCATGAGCCTAACCCTTGACTATGGATAAGCCTAACCCTTGACTATGGATAAGCCTAACCCTTGACTATGGATGAGCCTAACCCTTGACTATGGATGAGCCTAACCCTTGACTTTGGATGAGCCTAACCCTTAAATATGGCATGAGCCCAACCCTTGACTATGGCATGAGCCTAACCCTTGAATATGGCATGAGCCTAACCCTTGAATATGGCATGAGCCCAACCCTTGACTATTGATGAGCCTAACCCTTGACTATGGCATGAGCCTAACCCTTGACTATGGCATGAGCCTAACCCTTGACTATGGATGAGCCTGACCCTTGAATATGGCTTGAGCCTAACCCTTGACTATGGATGAGCCTAACCCTTAAATATGGCATGAGCCCAACCCTTGACTATGGCATGAGCCTAACCCTTGACTATGGATGAGCCTAACCCTTGACTATGGATGAGCCTAACCCTTGAATATGGCATGAGCCTAACCCTTGAATATGGCATGAGCCTAACCCTTGAATATGGCATGAGCCCAACCCTTGACTATGGATGAGCCTAACCCTTGACTATGGCATGAGCCTAACCCTTAAATATGGCATGAGCCTAACCCTTGAATATGGCATGAGCCTAACCCTTGAATATGGCATGAGCCCAACCCTTGACTATGGATGAGCCTAACCCTTGACTATGGCATGAGCCTAACCCTTAAATATGGCATGAGCCTAACCCTTGAATATGGCATGAGCCTAACCCTTGAATATGGCATGAGCCTAACCCTTGACTATGGATGAGCCTAACCCTTGAATATGGCATGAGCCTAACCCTTGACTATGGCATGAGCCTGACCCTTGAATATGGATGAGCCTAACCCTTGAATATGGCATGAGCCTAACCCTTGACTATGGCCTGAGCCCAACCCTTGAATATGGCATGATCCCAACCCTTGACTATGGCATGAGCCTAACCCTTGAATATGGCATGAGCCTAACCCTTGACTATGGATGAGCCTAACCCTTGAATATGGCATGAGCCTATCCCTTGACTATGGATGAGCCTAGCCCTTGACTATGGATGAGCCTAACCCTTAAATATGGCATGAGCCTAACCCTTGACTATGGATAAGCCCAACCCTTGACTATGGCATGAGCCTAACCCTTGACTATGGTCTGAGCCCAACCCTTGACAATGGATGAGCCTAACCCTTGACTATGGCATGAGCCTAACCCTTGACTATGGATGAGCCTAACCCTTGAATATGGATGAGCCTAACCCTTGACTATGGATGAGCCTAACCCTTAAATATGGCATGAGCCTATCCCTTGACTATGGATAAGCCTAACCCTTGAATATGGCATGAGCCTATCCCTTGACTATGGATGAGCCTAACCCTTGACTATGGCATGAGCCTAACCCTTGACTATGGCATGAGCCTAACCCTTGACTATGGCATGAGCCTAACCCTTGACTATGGCATGAGCCTAACCCTTGACTATGGCATGAGCCTAACCCTTGACTATGGCATGAGCCTAACCCTTGACTATGGCATGAGCCTAACCCTTGACTATGGATGAGCCTAACCCTTGAATATGGATGAGCCTAACCTGGGCCTCGAGGACCAGGAGCCCTCGTAAAGTTATGAATTCCGTTTTACGAAATGAATGAATCAAACGCAAAAAAACATAATTTAAAAAATAGAACATTTTTAACCATTGAAAGAAAATGACTGTAAAAGATATTCTGTCATGCACTCTAAGATTATCTAAAGAGTGTGGTCGAAAACTTTTCTCCAAGCATCGCTCGCAGGGGGCCTCGTCTTTCTGTATTGTCCACGGCGGCTCTAATTGTAACCCTTCTTTTGTTGGGGAGATGAGATACGGCATGTTCTGGAGTGTGCATTGAGTACCCCCTTTTTAGGGCCATGGCACATGCGTATTATATATCTAGATTCAAAGATGCATAGAACCCCCCAAGAAAGGAACTAACAGAACTTGGCGATCAAAATTCTAAACATTTTAAAGTGAGCGGGGAGCGGTTGTGTTTCCTGGTTTTGCGTGTTGAGGATGGCCGGGAATTTTGTAGGGAAAACTCGTTAGAATACACATGCGTCATGGCCCCTCGACGTTGATTTGCTCAAACAAACCATTAAGCCTTTTGTCTCAAACAATTAACAATTTCGTCTCCCTGAAAATGATGTGAAATAATTTTCAAATTAAATAAAAAATATTTGCAACTCACTTGTATGATTGTCACAGACAGGAATGGCATGAAGGTAATTGGAAGCTTTGTTTCGGGCCTACAAAAAGTACATGAAGACATTTATTATATTACATTACGTTTATTAACTAACAAGATCTTGCCAAATCAACATCATTGCATTTGCTTCTAAACCATAGTTTGTTGGCAGATCATTCCACACCACTGTAGCATCAATCCTTAAATCCCATTAGCGCATCTGCAGCCCCCTAAATTATTTTGTCAATGATATTTTGTCCTCAACCCACAGATAGATATGGCCTTAGCAATAATATCAGGAATATCGTTATTTGTCTGGGACAGAGTTGACGGCCTAAAAGCGAGCGTTGAGCTATCCTGCAGAGGATATTTCCCATACCCAATCCCTAGCAAAAATTAATTCTACAATGTTTCGCCACCCAACAAGGCTTCAAGCTATTCAAAGTCCTTTCCAAAAACTCAAGCTCTTGTACTTTTACTTCCACGATTCTACAATTAAAAAAACTTGAAGATACTATATAAGAGACAAGAAAACATACTAAAAATAGTGGAGTTCAAATATCAAACGAACATGCTGTACTTTGAATTAGACTATCGGCCTTTTTGGTACTCCAAAATCCCATTTACTCTTTTTTTGAAAGTAGGTAGCGAATGGGCAGTATTAATTGAATATAGCTCAATTGGTTACGTCTTGATACGGCAGGCCATTGCAAATTTGAGGTCTTGCACGGGGTTATCCTAAGGTCAGTATCGGTATAACGTAAGGACCTGTTGCACGAACGCGACAATTCATGAAAGATTAAAAGTATATAGGGAAGTGCAAGCCCATTTAAGGAATCGTATACTGAAAAGGAAGAAAATAACTCCTTGCCATTTCTTGATGTTTTGGTTGAAAAATCTGGCTGGCACTGGATTTCTCACCAGTGTATATCGTAAACTCACATTTTCGGGGTTATACACTCGATGGAGTTCGTTTTGTCCAAAACAAAGAAAAATCAGCCTCATCAAAACGTTTACACATAGGGCACTGATGATTTGTTCCAAGTCTAAACTCGACTCGGAACTTGAAAAACTAACTAAGATCTTTCTGAAGAACAGCTATCCAGAGGAAGTCATTTCAGTTTACATTAAGGAGAAGATAGGAAATTTCTCGGCTGACGTAAAATTTAGTCCTCAAAAGTGCCCGGTCTATCTAAAACTACCCTGGTTCGGTGACAGTTCCCTACGTTTCGAAAGTCAAATAAAACAGGCCATTACAAATTGTTTCTTTGCAGTCGACCCACGTGTTGTTTACAGTACGAAAAAGGCTCTTCGGTCCATTCAAAAGGACTGCGTTCCTGCCACACAAAAAAGTTCCGTTGTTTATGAATTTACGTGCCAGTGCGATTCTGGCTACGTAGAACGCAGATTGGAGGATAGAATAAAACAACATGTTTCGCCTAGTATTAGAAACAAAACTCGTCCCCAAAGAGAACAGCCACCTCGGTCTTGCAAATCTAAAATTACAACTAAAACCTGCGATTCTGCTATCGGGCAGCATTTACTAGAAAACCCAGGTTGTGCAAAAAACTATAACGGCGACATGTTTCGGATTATTGGTAAAGCCCGGTCGTCGTTCCACCTAGCAGTTTTGGAATCTATCTGCATAAGCACGAAAAAACCGCTACTGTGTAGACAAAAAGAGGTCGTTTTCCCCTTAGGACTCCATTGGTAACATTCTCAATAGGCAAGCGGCACTGATTGGTCATCCTCAACAGTCATGTGCTTGTGCTTCTGATTGGCCTATTTCGATCCACAACTGGGTATAACTATAGAAGCTAACTCGAAATTAATCATTTCACTGACTTTTAACCATCCTCGTTGTGATATCCATGGCACCGATGCTATATACAAAAGTTTGTTTTTAACAACATGAGCTCTTACAGCAACAAAAAAGCACGTAAAAGATGGGGTATTTTTTGTTAGTTACAGAATTTTTCACTGTAAAGTTTATTATAAGTTGGCTTAGATAAGGCAATTGAAATACTTATAAAATTCCAAAGTGGTGACTCCATGCAAATTTTGTAAATTTGCGTTTGTCGAGATAGCATGAAGTTAGATGTGCGAAACTAGTTAAAGTTTTGTTGATTTGATGAAACATGGCTAGTATTGCAACTGGATAACTGTTGTTCTGACACGGTTCATAGATTTTAGAGCCAAGGCCAAATCACATTGACGAGAAGAGAAGCATCTCTAGAAGGGAAGTACCTCTAGTAGAGAAGCAACTACAGAAGAGAAGCGTCCGTTCATACTGTGGAGAGAAGTTATCGACCAGTCAGTTAGAGGGTAAACCTGATAAAATAAAGCTGTCATGAAGCCCTATGCTCGTTGCATAGCTTCAATCTTTTCCAGAATTATTAATGTCTTATCAAACGTCGATATACATCTAGTGTAGAAGCTAGAGATTTTTAACATGAATTAAAAGTGAGAACCATCATTGTACAGATGTTTATGCAAAACACAATTGTAGAGATGTTTATGCAAAACACAATTGTAGAGATGTTTATGCAAAACACAATTGTAGAGATGTTTATACAAAAATCAATCGTAAAGATTTTTAAGCAAAACACAATTGTAGAGATGTTTAGGCAAAACTATTATAAATGCGGTTGTCTTTATGAAAACAGACCCAAGTTATTTTTATCTAATTAAAAAACAGCTTCATCGGCATCCTTGTGGGGAGCCTCACTCATTAAAATTTACGGATAACACTTACCTTTCTTATTGCAGCTGTTGCGGTTTGTGCCTTTCCTATTGCCCAACCTAAACAACATTAAAACATTAGAGTCCTGATTTTACAACATAAATTTTAAAAAAATGAAAATGTTTGTACTCGCCAATTTTACGCTGAAACATAAGAGAGCAAAAGTATCTGACAGTAAAGTCTGGTTTACAGGCTCTGTGCGTTGTTCATCGTCGATTTTCGTTGTTCCTCGACGATTTGGTTTGTTCCTGCTTATATCAGCTTGCTTCTCATTACATTTTAAAAGTATTTTATTGCGTTTTCTATGTTCAATCGTATTAACAGGCAACCTTCCTTGCATAGGATAGGATAGGATAGGATAGGATAGGATAGGATAGGATAGGATAGGATAGGATAGGATAGGATAGGATAGGATAGGATAGGATAGGATAGGATAGGATAGGATAGGATAGGATAGGATAGGAAAGGATAGGATAGGATAGAATAGGATAGGATAGGATAGGATAGGAAAGGATAGGATAGGATAGGATAGGATAGGATAGGATAGGATAACATAACATAACATAACATAACATAACATAACATAACATAACATAACATAACATAACATAACATAACATAACATAACATAACATAACATAACATAACATAACATAACATAACAGGGGCAACCTTCCTTGCATAGCAGGGGCCTTTAAATCAAGGATAGACTAGAACTAGCATTCAGTCCACTGAAAACTGAAAGCCAATTTGAAAGAATTGAAAAGAACGAAATGGGGCAATTGTTAGATAATCGGCAAAGGGGTAACGCCTAGAAAGATTTTAACTCTATTAGATAATAACTCTATTTAACTCTATCAGATGAAAGTATTAGAGTATTAACACGAGCTAAAGGTTTCATTAGAGGAGATATGACTGTTGAAAAACAAAATAAAGTGAGCTCAGTACTTGAAATCTTTCTTTGACAGCAGTTCGAAGGTACTGGGGGAAAGTGCCATTTTAGATATCTTACTCAAGCTGTTCCAGTTTTAGGCTCCTCGATAAGAGTTTTTGACTGATGTTTCACTAGTGTTTAGTTTTAAAAGTGTTAATCACGCACAAGAGGAAAGTGGACTGGTTTTTAGAATTCTTTTTCAATACATATACGTGAAATGATCGGTCCTAAAAGAAAGATTTAAGCAATAAAATGGCAGACTCACAACAGCCCAAGCATACCAATTTCGCAAACAAATTTTCAGTGATTATTTGTGCCATGTGATAGACCTATCAAACTCGTGGCTCTTAACACACCTTTTCAAATCCTTGATCGATTCTATCAACTTTTTTTTAGATTTGTGCGAGGTAGCCGGATTTGTATTCACATAGTATTTTCTTTCTACCAAGGAATCTTTTTACTGGACCAGGAATAACGTTTTATAATATTTTTAACGTTGGGAAATAGCGAAATTTGTGGGTAATTTTTAGATCATCTTTCAGCCTTTTCAAAAAGAGTAGTTTTAATTTTGATTGCTTGCAACCATCACGAGATACGGATTAAAGAAGAGAGAGATTCATAGTTGAGTTATTGGCTAAACTAGAGCTGTCGCACGATCTTTGAAGAATTTATCTGCAGCATTATGTCATTTTGTGGCTTTTAAGGGATGATTTCTCTTAAAAGCTTTAAGAAACTAAGAGAAAATGGAGTAGATGAGAATGGTCCCTAAGATAAAGGAATCGTTATTCCTAATTCAAATTGCCAATTTTTTCCGCTTGAGTTAATGTAACGTTCCCGTTGAAGTTAAATTTGAAAATGAATCTTTCAAAATAATTATTGGTCTCTTGGAAAGGGGCCAAGGCCGCACTCCTTTTGAAATTGAAAGACTGGATCAGCGGAAAAGAAAGAACAGGACGGCCAATCACTGAAAAGGTGTGACAGCTACTGATGTAGAACATTAGGAAAGTAGCCTGCAACCTTGGAAAGGGGCCAAGGCCGCACTCATTCTAAAGTCGTAAAACAAGAGCAGTGGAAAAGAAAGATGGACCAGTCTAACAGAACGGCCGATTGCTGGAAAGGTATGACGGCTACTGATGTAGAACATTAGGAAAGTAGCCTGCAATCTTGGAAAGGAACCAGGGCCCCATTCCTTCTTAAATCGTAAGACTGGAGCAGCGGAAAAATGGACCAGTCTAACAGGACGGCCGATCACTGGGAAGGTGTGACAGCTATTGATGTAGAACATTAGGAAAGTAGCCTGCAACCTTGGAAAGGGGCCAAGGCCGCACTCCTTTTCAAATTGAAAGACTGGATCAGCGGAAAAGAAAGAACAGGACGGCCAATCACTGGAAAGGTGTGACAGCTACTGATGTAGAACATTAGGAAAGTAGCCTGCAACCTTGGAAAGGGGCCAAGGCCGCACTCATTCTAAAGTCGTAAGACAAGAGCAGTGGAAAAGAAAGATGGACCAGTCTAACAGAACGGCCGATTGCTGGAAAGGTATGACAGCTACTGATGTAGAACATTAGGAAAGTAGCCTGCAATCTTGGAAAGGAACCAGGGCCCCATTCCTTCTTAAATCGTAAGACTGGAGCAGTGGATAATGGACCAGTCTAACAGGACGGCCGATTACTGGAAAGGTATGACAGCTACTGATGTAGAACATTAGGAAAGTGGCCTGCAATCTTGGAAAGGAACCAGGGCCTTATAGTTAGTAAAAGTAGTAAGCAGCAGATGTTTTAAAAGGCGAATCTAGCTTTTCTGCTGAGACCTCTTCTCAAAGTTCCAGATGAGGTATTAACTCTGTTGTAACCACGGGATTGATTCATGAAGATATGCTCCCAAACCAAAACCCTGTCAGGGCATTAGCTGACCCTAGAAAACTGCAAACATAGGGAACAATTTCGCCAAACTAGGAAAATGAAGCTGCCTACTGGCAACAATTAATGAACTGGAAATAAACATTTTTTCAATTGCAGAAACCATTTGGATGAGCAGTGGGACAATCTCAGGATTTTAATATGAGGTGCTATAATTAGGAGAAAAAAGCACCAGTAATCCTCATGAAGACGAACATCGCGAAGCAATGATGGGGTTCTGGCCACACTCCATCAAATCATTGTGGTGAAACTCGATGGCAAGCCTCTCATTGCTAACATACTTTAAGTGTATTTCCCAAAAGCATCCGAGAAAGAAGAGAGTCAAGACTTTATTCAGAACATAAACAATACTACATGCAATACAATTTACAAAAATAAAACTGGAGAAATAACAAAAATCTCCGGAGCCTGGAATGGCAAGCTAAGATAAAGAAGTCACTATTCTTGGAGACAGAAATGAGAGAGGAGAGAAATTGATGAACTTATGAGGGACCAACAGTATGGCGATTGCTAACACACTGTTTGAGCGACAGAAAAGTAAATATATTCCTGGAAAGCTTAAGGGACCAATTCAAAACCAGATCCCTTGAATTCAAAGCCTTGATCCTGCTTGAATCAAAAGTTCCGTTACTGTATCAATAAAAGTGAGAGATATATTGGAGCAGGCATCGGATCTAGCAAGAATCCTGTGGTCAAGTAAATTAAAGAAGAAGGAATGAAGAAAGAGAGAACAAAAACTTTTATCGTACAGACTTAAGCTGGGGAGGTAAATATTGAGTCAATATAGCAATTAATAACAAATATGGGGCTCTTGCAAGTATCTTTGAAGATTAAAGGAGACCTTAGACTAAATGAATACTGCTTCAGGAAGCAATCGCATCAGAGATAAAAATAGAAAACATTTATTTAATGAGAAATGATAGAAAAAGATAGGAGAAATAAGTCACTGAGCATGCGGAGATGCTCTTGTTAATGAAGACCTAAAAGAACCAGAGATTCTTTTTCACTTCTATTAACTGATCAAAATACCTGCTGAAATTATCAAAGCCCCTGGAAGGTACGGTATGAAAGGACTGAAGAATACCAGCGCTGGAAGAAAAAATCTTTGAAGTACTCCGCAGAGAAACAAAAAGCAATTATTTGCACAAAACACCGGAACTTGACTCAGGATTCATCTCCAGAAAGCTATCTGAAGATAATGTTCCGAAGAAATTGGAACAGAATAGAGGAATACCTGAGTAAACTATAGAGTGAAGTGTCAAAATGAACTACAGAGTGAAAACTTCAAGGTCATCTCCAAAAAAACAATCACCCTCCAGTGTAAACATTACAAAAAATGATCAGTTTTCCCCACCTAGAACAAATAATAACATGTGCGGAAAAGAGATCAAAAGAAGAATGAACATTAGAAGACCTGCCTTCTCAAAAATGAGTTATGTGTTAGCGTCCAAGAGGGACCAACTAACAACAAGAAAAAGACACCGTTGATGTTTCGCTTCTGCTTTCAAAACTGCCACTCCGGTGTCGAAGCTAACTAAATACTCCTCTGCTTCTGAGGTCGGTGAGGCGGGGAGTGGCTTAAAATCCATGACACTCAACACAGGCTACGATAGCATGATTCTTTCAAAGGTTTAAAAAGGTTTGCTCCTACTGGGTTCATGACACAGTTTGCCAAACATGATATTTTCACGCTAATATGAGAAACATGTCATTTTTGGTAACTTTGCTAAATTCTAGGTCGCACTGGAATGAATAAATAGGTATTCAGACGTCACAAATATGGTATGCTTCAAGAAGAGCGGGTGTACAAAAATTGTGTTAATAAGCGTTAATAGTATAAACTGGCAATGAATTTCGACACAAAAATATTCCGGGGCTTTACCCTGGAACCTTTGCGTAAAAAGCAGAAACACAAGAATTTTTTACATAAAAGACTTAATTAGCTTTATCATGTTTTATAAATATAAAACGTTCTTTATTGATGTTGTTTCTTTCTGGCTGATGCCCGTTGCTAATATATCTTTACAAACTAATTTTAACAATTTATTTTACACATCTTGAGATTGTTTGTTCGGTTTTATCATAATTTTACTTGAAAAATAAGTTAGAAGGAAAGGCTGCTAATTAAATTTATCATGATAATTATTATTGTATAATCCATATTGCCATTAATATTAAGAGTCAGGAATTTATCTGATTTCACAGAAGTTCCGTTCAGCTCAATGCCAATTTAGTCGTCGAACTTTTCTCTACAGGAATTTTCCTAACGACCAGAATATCAGTTTTGTAGTAATACCTTCCAATCTCTAGAAAAGTTTCGTCGTGTAACTACAAAGTTTTTTGAAAATGTAACGTAGATTCTTTTAGTGTCATGCAAGTAAGAAATGTTTTGAAAATTTAACGACAATGATTTCAACGCAATGAAAGTGAGAAGAGTTTTGGAAATTACACATAAACGTTTTAACGTCATGCAAGAAAAAAGTGTTTTGGAAATGAAATATCAATGTTAAAACGTCATGCAAGTGGGACCTGTTTTTGAAATTACACATAAACGTTTTAACGTCATGCAAGAAAGAAGTGTTTTGGAAATAAAACATAAATGTATCAAAGTCATGCAAGTAAGAAGTGTTTTGGAAACGAAACATACCAACAGCCCCATTTTTATTTCCGGTGACAACAACAGCACTCACTGTTCTTTTCTTTCCTAGAGTCTTTTGAACTGCAGTCCGCTTTACCTGGGAGACAAGAGGAGGCAGCATCTTATTCAAGTACGCGACGGAATTTGTATAGAAAGCAAACATAACGAGTCATAAAGAAAATAACTAAAGAAATAACAATTGAGCCTCGTTATTAAAACAAGAAAAGTATTGACCTCAGAAAGGTGATGATAATAATCTTGAATTCATTTTAAAAATAGCTTGCCTAACAATCGTTCCAATATTTGCTAGCACGAGAAAAGAACTGTTAGATATCCGTCATCCTCAGACCGTCATTATGTAAACATAAGATAAGAGATCAGTTTAGTGAAGTGTGCATAAAATATGGAAGTCTACAGATTGCCCACCTCTATGACAATTGAATCAAAGCCATCCAGTATTTCTAAAAAGAAAAAAAAAATTAACATTTCCATAAATAGATAAGCAGGAGAGAAAGCAGGATCAATTGCTGCAGCGTTCAAATAAAGCTGATAAGCAAACAGGACTTTCAAATCAATTCTTTACAAAATAGGTGCCTCATCAAAGCAACGTCATCAAAACAACCGCCACTGTTTTACTGGAACAGGCAACCTTGATGCTCTACTCAAAGAATTTCTTTATCAATCTTGCTTTTGCTAGCCAACTCAAGAAATAGCCTACAAGGTTTCTCTATGTTTACGCAGAACAGATTACAATGTCTATATGACAGAATAAGTATTAAGAAGTTAATAAAACTGCGCCTAAAATTTAGTCCACTCGATGAGCATGGATTTTGGCAACATTTTGATTGCTTTAGCCCCTATTGTAACGAGGACTATCTCTTGTACTGCCCCCACTTTGGCCTAGAACACGTGGATCTGTTCTGTCAGCTTGCAGAAGACCCAGATTCATATATTACAGATATGGAATACAAGGTTGGTGGTCTGATTATCGTAATGAAAAGAGTGATAATTGAAGCTACAATATCGGAGCAAGGGTGTATTTTCCCTCAGAGGCATGATAATACTGTCGCGGCGACTCTCCTTTTTCTTTTTTTATCGTATTTCCTTAATCAATTGTCAGGTAGATATAAATGCCATTGTCGGTTGGAACTGGGTGACTACGTTACTTCTCCCGCTGTCAATGGCGAAGAGGTAAAGTATGTTGTTTTTAAGTTTAGTTGTGATTTTCTGGTATATGAAACATTAAGTTGAACTTAAATTTACTGTTGTTAAAAATACTTTACACCTCGTTGCTGCATTTTCTGATTACCTTTCTACTAAGCTGTTTTGTAGCTTACTCTTTCTACATCTTGAGTTGACAAAAACAAACAGGGAAACACCAACGTTTTCTTTTTACTAACGACAACAACAGGCTCATTGCTAATATGTTCATACTGCCTGATAAAAGTAAATCAAACAGATCTCTAGCTTCCCAAACTTTTACACGCTGCACCCTGCCAATATTGAAAATCAATCATCCTGATTCTGCAAACTGTGAAAGTTCAGAAGACATTTTTTCAAAGTAGAACGTCAAAAGCAGTGAAGAGCCAGTATAAAGAAGTGTGCATCAAAAAAGCCCGCTTGATGCGCTTTTAAAGAAGAAGAAAGAACAACTTATGTGGAAGAATGTTTGGAAACGGACCTTGGAACTGATTTTCTGTTTTTTTTTCTACGATGATAAATATACATATTTCAGTGATTATACATAATGAAAACTAGTCAAATTCTTTAAAAACGGAATGTAAACGGATAGAAGTTTGGCTGCTCGCAACAAAGGGATATCAGTTATTGGAACAAACCTCCATGGTCATTTTGTGGTGGCCCAACGTGTCTTCCAGGCCACGAACGGCCACTCCATCCCCGTGAACTTTGATGTGCAAGCAAAGATCGTCCGAACCCACGAGGCTCTCGGTCATCAGATTTTTCAAATTCTTCCTTGTCTTTCCTGTCCGGTAATCCAAGCTTGATTGGCTTGGTCAGCCCGGGCCAAACAACTTTAGCTTTTCCTTGGATAGAAAGGTTAATGCATTCAAACATTTTTCGTGAATGTACTTGAAGCTTACTAGGGAATTAGCAGTGACACGGGACTTGTTGGGATGCAAACATTGAACTTAACATCAGCGCAGGAACGCTTTTTCTGCATTAAGGATATGCTATTGGCAATCATGTCATTGGCAACCGACGTGAGAAAGCAATATAGGATTATTGGTTATACATTACATAGCTTAAATATGGATGCTTCCAAGATCGTTAGAGGACAACAAAAGATGGGCAACAGATAAGCACCTTTTGCACTAGACAATCATAGCAGCTGCTGAACCAAATCAAAAATTTGATGCTTTGATAAAAGTAACTTCGCATTCACATTGGTAAAAGCATTAATAGCATCCTAGAAAGAATTAAACTGTTCATGATTTTTTTCCAAACTTCAATTTCTGTAATCTTTTGGAAGAACATTAATTGAGAAAAATCTTCTTTAATGACGCTACTTGATTTTGAAAATCTGGTCTACGAATTGCGATGGATTGCCACCATTTTTAAGCCAACATCAATGAGTTCAACAATGGAGTTCAACAGCTGATGCTAAGCGACATATTGTTGTTGCCTGTAAAGTATCTCCTTTTAGTTCGACATTTCAAAAAGAACATAGGACAGTTGCTTATCTCCCTGCAAAAAATGCTTGGACGATACGAACCATTTTAGGCCATAGAACAAAATTTTCACGGGTAGGTGTTCACTCACCGCACCAATGCATCGTGAACTTGTTTTTACAATACCGTATTTATTCGATTATAAGCCGCGGCTTACAATTACTTCTTAGCGCGTTTTGCTGCTATTTATAATCAAGGCAGCTTACAAACAAGGGCGGCATTATTTTATCCAGATCCTGCCAAGCTTTCCAGCAACCTTGAAGCTGAGGGTGAGGATAATGTAGTAGATAAGGAAGAAATACTCATTGACGATGTTGATGATCCGTGATCTGGATGATATTGTTATTGGTTGAACTTCTAATGCCCAATTAATGATATAAGCACACAATCAAGTATATATCAGCTTTTGCTTAAGGCATTTCAAACCAAGTAGTTCTGCTTGGTTTTGTGGGTGGGGTTTTTAATCAAGGGCGGCTTAAAAACAAGGGCGGTTTAAAAACAAAGGGGGCTTATAATCGAATGAATAGGCAGCAACGCACCACATGGAAATTACAGCTAATGGAGAAAAGATGGGTAGAGAACAAAGATAGTTCAAAAGCTTATTTAAACAGACTTTGAACAGATTTTTCAGAACAGACCTAATTCTACGTATGCTTTCTCTAAATTAATTTAAGTTCTAAATGGCGTGAAATATTCTATTTTATAAATTTCTTTATGGATTTCTAGAAAGCTTAAAGAACTTAAACAAAGTGAATACTTAGGTTTTGAAAATTATTTGCCCTTTGCCTCGTTTTCGTGTCATCCAGCAATATTCTTTGAGGCCTACCGTTTACATTTTTCCTACTTCATCCATTTCGATGAGAAAGTTTGATGAGGTTGAATATTTACCAAAAGAGAGATTTTCTGGATTGGCGGCTATGTCGATTCTTCTCTTTCTTCCTCTACCTACGCCCCGGCCTCCAGTTGCAGCAGCCCAGAGCTTTTCATACTTTCCTGTTACATTAAATAAGAAGGTCATAAATCAAAATACGTTATTGACAGTATGTGATCAACTTAGAAAACGGCGATAAAAACTGACTCTGAGAGTGCTCTTCAGTGCTGTAATCATTTAAAAACGTACTTTTCATCTTGCTTTCCATCTAAGCATTTGCAGAAGTCTAGATATTTACATCTCGCTTTTTCAGATTTCTTGATTTCTAATCACTTTACTCATGAGGCAGATTCTTCAGGACTTGTCAACTAGGAATCCATACATTAAATCCAAGATTTTCAATTGCAATGATGCGTGTTCACAAAGGATTCGCTAGACTGAAAGTAGAACCTAGGATACTTGAACTAGGATGGCTATGTTATTGCTTAGCCAAATTGCGGAAAAATCACCAAGCAAAGTTACAAATACAATATTAAATTGAAAAAAAGAACTTTGATGACAGGTTGTCCAAATATTCCGTAACACAATCCTCAACCACAAAATTCTCAACAAACTGATTTTTTTGCTTTTAAATAGGCTTTAGGTACCGCAAAATTGGAGATAGCACAGAAAAGAGAAAACATAGCAAACTAAAGTAATTTTTCGTCCGATACTTTCGTCTGATACTTTCGTCTGACACGAAATGTCAGGTAATGATTAGAGGTTAGCAGGAATTTATATCAAGAAGCGGATAGTAAGTTACGTAAAAGGAAAAAGGCACATGTGATTCGCTCCTTCTTTTGACACATGAGGTTTTAACAATTGGTCAAAAACAAGGAATCAGTGAAACACTCAATTTTCCCTAGCGTTGCTTTCTAACTGCTTCAGGATATAAGTCTCAGTTTAATTTCATATTTGTATACTTTTATACGGAGTTTTTGTATATTGCAGAATTGGAATGAAGTATGTTTTGTTTTCGCCTTTTGAAAATTGATTAAAACAACATTTGAAGAAAATGGAACATGAGCATGTTCCATCACCAAGGCAAAATTAAGCTTTTCATACCTTTCCCGTACTTTCGATTGATTTTCACATTTGGAAACTGTCTAAGCTTGATATTTCTAAAATTGCCTAAAACAAAAAGGAAAATTTTCGGCACAATATCTTTAAAAATAAAACATTTTTCGACATGCCTCTCTTTATTGAATCCATTTTAGTTACGGTTGTTGTTTTAAGATTATGCTTCTGCTAAGATCTTTCCTGGAATTGAAATTGAATGGTTAAACAGAATTTCAAAGGTCATAATTTATACCCAATTTATACCCGCAATTTATACCCAAACAAATTAAACATGCTGGACTATGTTGAGTAATTATGCTGAGCTATGAAAAAATGGGTCGCCATTATCCTGAGGTAGGCAATTCATGTGCCTTCAAAAGTGCTGCTTTGAAAAGTTGCCTGATATCAGCAGGCTATGCTTTTGGATCTTTAAGGACCAAAAGTTATGAAAATTACATGCATCCTAAGTTTTCTTCCTGCTTAGCATAATACAATACTTGACTCAAGTTTTTATGCTTATTGGTTATACTTTTATCTGAATCATTTGCTCCCAACAGACTTCAACACATTAAAAGTACTCTGAGGGCAGAGATTTCAAACCTGGAGAGGGAATAAGTCAACCGTTCATTGACACCATTGTGATTCTATGCAAGATGACAGGAAAGTCTGTCACTGTAACTACAGATGTAGAGAGGGTGGGGGGGGGGGTTATTGCTGGCAGACCACCCATTTCAGAGCAGACCTAGATAGTGATTAGGCTAGCATTTTTGGAACATTTGAATACGAATTTGGAAGGAGAGGTTTAAGATGTTCAAACTTGAAGGAAATGGCCTAGACTGTTATCAGGAAACATGTTTCAATTTTCTTGCAAACGTTCACCCCGAAATTCTCTGATTATCAGGCTCCAAAAGAATACCAATGAAGACATCGTCTGGACAAACACATCTTGTATAAATAACAACATTAGAAAACAAATTCAGTAAATTTAAATAACAGTAGATTTGAGTAGCTGAAGAAATGACATCTTTTATCGCAACATACCATGTACTGCTAACGTATAAAAGTTTTTTTGCAAACCAGAGTTTATTCTTGGAGCTAATATGCATGAAATGTCGAGCTTAAGTACTTGCTTCAAAACGAAGTTCATGACAACAGTCGAAAATGGTATCACTTGCCAAATACCGCTTCACTTGGAGTTTATTTCTATGAATCTGTCATGATCGAATAGCCTCGCAAGGAACCCTTCCGCCATGCTCTGTCTCGTATTCAAAAACCTTCAAAAAGTGTTGGCGAAGGAATGAAGCTAACAAGAGCAACTTCAAGGTTTATTAAATTTGGAGTACCCCTTGTGGTATGAAATTTCCATATGTTTTGTTTCTATGTGTGTAAGATAGAAGGCTCTAAATTCGGTACGGGTGCCCGACAAATCGAAGCTGTAACGTCACAGCCAGCACCACAGAAGACAGAAACTCTGATCCGGTCAATTTCTTTATGCTTGCATTTACCAAAAATGGATCATAGAATTGGAATCTTCTTGTTAAAATTAGTCTGCGCTCAACATTTCGTGTTGTGTGGACTACAGAAACTTACGGTCAAATCCAGTGGCGTAGCGTCTATGTATGCTACGCTTGCGGCGCAAACGTCAAAAATTCTAGACAAGGTCTAAAATTCTTGCAATACTTCTGACGGTAATAAATACGTTGTAGTGTTAAAGTCAATGCATAACATATTCCGCAATAAACTGTTTTTTTCTGGTCATGAGCAGTATGCAGTGAACTCCAGCGCCAACATCCCAATTGGCTATTTTTCCAAGTAGACAGATGGTCAAAAATTGTGAAATTCGAAAAATCTAAAAAACTGAAGCCCCTTGACATCATTCTTTTTGCCTGTCGAAAATAAGAGAAACGTGAAATGCTTCAGTGCAGCTTCAGTGCAGCTCGAGAGAAGCTTCTGAGACCAGTAAGAATTTTCTGGACTGGAGCTTGCAGTCAGCCTGAGCGCAAGCATTCCCAAATATTTGATTATTGGGTAATTCCATGTCAAATTTTTGTCAAGTGACACCATATATCTCAGAATTACATGAAATTTGGTGAGCATGCTGCAACTATGGCTAAAAGACTTGCTACAAATTTTTTTCTCAAAATTCCTATCCGTTCAGGTTTTATGGGCATTAGAAAAGTCTTTTAGCCCCGCCCATTTTAGGGGCGAAAATCAGAGCCGCAGTTTTGCATGGGTTTAATTGTTTGTAGTATCCAATGGTTTATTGCTGTGCTATGCAAATTTGGCCCTATTAGGTTTTCAAGCATGTAGATTCCATAAAACACACTTAAATCTCACTTCCACCTTTACCTTAGGAGATATGGCTTAATCTTCAAGTACAGCTGCAAATTTCTCACAACCACTAGTGTTTATATTGGCCTTCCCCCCTTGAAAGGCCCAGGTAGCACCACAAATATTGTTAAGTTTTTTCAAAAACGAATGTTGTGTGCACCAGCTTGAAAAGTTTCATTGTGGTACTACCTGGTTAAGTTCACTAAATAGGGTGGTCATTATGACCATAAAACTGCTTGTACGTGCCGCTTTGAGCAAGGACAAAATACAATCTAAAACTGCATTTACAATGTTAATTTATGATTTCTATAAATTTAGACACTATAAATTTGAAATCCTTTTTTGACAAGTTGTACTGTCTCCCAGTGGAAGTTGTTGGAGGGTCTATGATGCTCAAAATATGGGTAACTGGAACCAGACAAATGTCTTCACTGTTAGGCCATGAAAATGACCGTGCTGGCCCATGAGGATGCATAAATTTGATAAGCGCATCTCCTTCTTCATCATTGACCTCAAGGACAAACCCAATCCACCATTTGCTGTCTGGTATACAGCCTACAAATTCACATGTCCTTTAGGTCCTTTAGGATTTTTTAAACTGAATCATGCACAGATAGATTTACTAGTTGCTGCTATATTAGATGGGTTTATAGATTTAGGTGTTTTCTAGAGACTGTTTTTGTCCCCATTGAGGACCAACTTATTAGATAATTCCTCCTGTTCTTGCTAAGGTGTGTGTATAATTGATCAAGTAATTCCAAAACACCAGTAATTCTGATATATATTTGCTGGATCATTTATGTGAGAACTTTTGATTTTTCTGCCCAAAGAGTTCATCCTTTCAGCATGAAATAAAAAAATGGCATGCTGAGTTTTCAGCATATCACAGGAGTCAGAATGTTTAAATGCAAGCTTAAGAGATGTGGCAATTTGACAAGTCAAAGTATGGAATAAAGACGTGTTAAACTGTTTTTAGTCTATTTTGATGAAAACACAGTTGGTGCATTCATATGTCTAAAACAAAGATAAGTATCCTTTGATATATTTTTGAAATGCAATATTAAGCAGAGGCTTTCAGCAATGTTCTGTTAATGCAAACAATCTTTATTTCTTGTTATGCTGAAAGGTCTTTTTAAGTCTTTTTAAGAAGAACAAAAATATTTTTTTCAACTTTGAACAAGAGGGAGTGCATACTTTGTTGTTAAGTGTTGAAATGTTGTTAAAAAATGTTGTTGAAATGTTGTTAATTTATGTGTGAGCATGCTCATTTCATGTATTACAAACAACTTCCCACATGTGTTTCAATACACTATCTAGCCAATAGATTGTGCTTTGTTGATAAGTATTGTCTTTCAAGATCACTTTGATGTAAAAGCAATTTCAACATTAAAGGTAAGAATGATAAGCAATACATGAAGGATTCATGCACAGTTATCCTTGAGATTCTCCATTCATGGGTACATAGATTCTCTGTAGGGATATCTGTAACTTCATTGAGCAATCTTGCAAATTTGCCCTCTCTGGCATGCTTTTCTTTCTTGATGCATAAATGCCCCCTGCTTATTATGGACAAAAAATTCAAAATGTTGCAAAACTTAACTAAGAAAACTTCTTCCCAATGTTATTCCCCAGGACTTTAGCCACATTGTGAAAAATGGATTCTTGCTCTGTTGGAAATATTCTTGGAGAACAATGTCACAAAAGAACATACTGTGCAACTGCTGCATTGATTAGAGTAGATGAAATGAACAAAGATGAAAGGAATTTGCTTGCATTACGATCTGGAATTGAGAATGGGATTGAAACTGTTTGTGAACACCATCATAAATTCTTTCTTGTTAAATATGAAGAATACCAACGTGTCTGCTGTAACCCATTTGAAATTCATGGTCCACATAGAAAAGGTTGGTGTGTTTCTAGTTTAATGTGCATTAAGGGGGGTTTTTACTGAAATACTTTTTATACGCTAAAATTATAATAACATATTCTAAGAACTCCTTTGAAAAGCTTTTTGGATAATTATGTACTTGTTAACATTTGATATTGGTGTGAGTCATTCTACAAAACTCAAGGAATTATATTATTATCAATAACATATCCTTAAATTTTCAGGATCATTGCGAGTAATAACAAGTGATGTGTGCAAAAATGCTGAACAAATTCGAAAAAAATTAATCCCTGGTAAAAAGTTGTGCCCATCATGTAGACAAAGGCTACAAGTTGAAATTAAAGAGGGAAATTATGAAGATTGGCCAAAAAACCAAGGAGACGTTTCAGAGGATGAAGAGTTGTCTGCCATTCAAAAATCTTTGGATTTGGAGGAAGATCGTTCAGATGTTTCTGATTTCTTTAGTTCTGTAGGGGTATCACCAATAAAACACCATGCAGTTTCAACAGCAGTGAAAACAAAGCAAGGGAAGCGCAAGCTTGAAACTGTGGTGGCAACATTGACCGAGAAAGTTGCAAGATCTCTTGACATACCTGTTACGGAACTTAGAGCTCAACAAGATACGTCTGAGTCAAGTAGGGAGGAAATAAAGAAAAAAGTGGCTTCCTTTGATGAAATTATGGACAATCTTGCAAGAAAGGTAAAATCATTGGATTGCAAAAGCAAACAATTACAAATTCTGACATTGCTTCCATCAAATTGGTCCAATAAAATGGCATCAGATTTCTTTGGTGTCTCGGAATACATGGTTCGCACTGCACGCAAGCTAGCCATGGAGAAGGGAATCCTGTCTTTACCAGATCCTAAAAAAGGACATAGCTTGCCCAAAACAACCCTCAACCTCGTGCATCAATTCTACCATGATGAAGAATTCACTAGAGAAATGCCAGGCAAGAAAGATTGTGTTAGTATTGCACCAAATGACCACAGACAAAAGAGGCTCATTCTTTGTAATATAAAAGAACTTTTCAATGCCTTTAAAGTCAAGTTACCGGAAATTAAGATCGGCTTTTCAAAATTTTCTTCTTTAAGGCCAAAATGGTGTGTTTTAGCAGGTGGTTCTGGAACGCATTCTGTTTGTGTGTGCTCTATTCACCAAAATATCAAACTCCTTCTTGCTCCTATTAATACCAGCTATAAAGATCTACTGCATTTTGTTGTATGCAGTCCTGAAAGCAGAGAGTGCATGGTGAATCGTTGTGATGCTTGTCCAACATCAACTGATCCCTTAAAGGAACATCTTTTCAAGGTGGCTTTTGAGCATCAATTCAGTGACAAAATTGAATTTCAGCAATGGACAACTACTGATCGGTCAGACCTTGTCAACTGCCAAGAGTCAATTGTAGACTATGTAGACCTGGTAGTTTCCCAGCTGGGAAAGCTGACAACACATTCCTATATTGCGAAAGCCCAGGCTAGATATTTGAAGCAACGAAAAGAAAATATTACAGAAGAAACAGCACTTTTTCTTGGAGACTTTGCTGAAAACTACACCTTTCTGATCCAAGATGAGATCCAAAGCTACCATTGGAGTAATAAGCAATGCTCTCTTCACCCAGTTGTTGTTTATTTCAAAGAAGGTGAAATTCTTAAGCATAGGTCCTATTGTGTTCTCTCAGATGACCTAATGCATGATGTCTCATTTGTTCATTCAGTCATAAAGCTTGTGTTGGATGACTTGAAGTTAGTTTGTCCCCCAGTTAAAACAATAGAGTATTTCTCTGATGGCTGTGCACAGCAATATAAAAATCGCAAAAACTTTATTAATCTCTGCTACCATAAGAATGACTTTAGTTTTGATGCGGTCTGGAACTTCTTTGCTACAAGCCACGGGAAGCAGCCTTGTGATGGGATAGGTGGCACTGTCAAACGGTTGGTTGCAAAGGCAAGTTTGCAAAGACCAGTTTCTAACCAGATTTTGACATTTGAAGCTATGCTTGAGTTCTGCAAGTCAAACATTTCTGAGATAAAATTTATTCCCCTTTACAAGACTGATTTAGAAAAAAATAGGAAAATTTTAGCAAAACGATTTTACAACACATATCCTGTTCCTGGGACAAGAATGTTTCATCAGTTCATTCCATTGACAGAAAGGACTATTGCTGTAAAAAAATGCAGCGATGATGAGCAATTTTATTTGCGGCATGACATGGCCAGCACGGTCATTTTCATGGCCTAACAGTGAAGACATTTGTCTGGTTCCAGTTAACCATATTTTGAGCATCATAGACCCTCCAACAACTTCCACTGGGAGACAGTACAACTTGTCAAAAAAGGATTTCAAATTTATAGTGTCTAAATTTATTGAAATCATAAATTAACATTGTAAAATGCAGTTTTAGATTGTATTTTGTCCTTGCTCAAAGTGGCACGTACAAGCAGTTTTATGGTCATAATGACCACCTTATTTAGTGAACTTAACCAGGTAGTACCACAATGAAACTTTTCAAGCTGGTGCACACAACATTTGTTTTTGAAAAAAGTTAACAATATTTGTGGTGCTACCTGGGCCTTTCAAGGGGGGAAGGGCAATATAAACACTGGTGGTTGTGAGAAGTTTGCAGCTGTACCTGAAGATTGAGCCATATCTCCTAAAGTAAAGGTGGAAGTGAGATTTAAGTGTGTTTTATGGAATCTACATGCTTGAAAACCTAATAGGGCCAAATTTGCATAGCACAGCAATAAACCATTGGATACTACAAACAATCAAACCCATGCAAAACTGCGGCTCTGATTTTCGCCCCTAAATTGGGCGGGGCTAAAAGACTTTTCTAATGCCCATAAAACCTGAACGGATGGGAATTTTGAGAAAAAAATTTGTAGCAAGTCTTTTAGCCATAGTTGCAACATGATCACCAAATTTCATGTAATTCTGAGATATATGGTGTCAAAACTCATATATTCTACAAAATTTCATATGGAATGACCCTATTCACAACATTTTTCTGCCTATACGCTGCTTTTTGCGAATATTCTTTGCATGATACATCATTTCAAATCTAGTTATTTTCCATTCTCTACTTTGTGACATTTAAAAGAGAAAAAGTTTCATCAAAGTGGGGTCAAAGTCTATTTGTCATGATCCGCATTCCGTAATTGAAGTCAAAAGGGTAAGCGTAAGCACCTTCAATTCTAACAAAGTTGTTCTCTCACAACATCATGATCTTTGTTAACTATGAGAGTAGATAATGAGCAGAAACCTGCTCCTGGTCGCCTAGGCTCTGCAGTGTGTTAACAATTTTGCAATGTGGAGAGCTCCTCTTGCGGGAATCCCCAGCTGCATTATAGCATAAAAAATTCTTACGTTAGGTGGCCATTGGGTGATGCCTTTTTTTGAGGAATGAATAAGAATGAGATCTTTTGCAAAACGGTTTTAGCACTTGTATTTTTAAGAAGCTGAAATTACGATTAAATTCATTCAACATGGCCATATATTTTGTGTTACCGCATGCCTTAGTTCTGCGCTCACGCTACGCCACTGGTTAAATCTAAAGAAGTATCTAAATATTCAAAACAAAAAAACTTGTGTAAACTATTCAAGATAAAGATTTCAAATCTGAAGTCTGATTTTGAGAAGGGTGATAGCAATATGCAAAATTGATGATATCAACCGGAGACGGATAATTGCTCTCAAACAATTAAATAAGTTGAAGCTTATAGCTATAGCAATTTTAAGAAAATTCTGCCGCCTACACCAGTTGAAAAATGTTCAGCCTAGAAGATAAACTTGCAGCCAAAAATACCAACTCTGTGGCCAACAAGAGACCAACAAAAAAGCCAACAAAGTAAAAAATTACTTTTTCCAATATTGCAAATATCCCATTGCAAATTTCAGTATTTTGGGATGACAAACTGTAATTTAAAGTTCATAAAAGTTCAATAATAAAGATGTTGGGAGATCAAGCTCAAGCACCTTTCTTGGGGGGTTATACCCATGATGCATTCCATGCTAATCTTAAAGCCAAAGGTACACCAAAGGTACACCAAAGATTGGCCAGGTCAACACCTAGACTCATACAGGCGTGTCACTTCATACTTTTGTTAGGGGGGAGGTGGGGTTGGCTGCATATTTGCCCTGCAAAAAAATTTTGCCCTCGCAAAAGTTGAACATGTGGGAAACTGGCCCAAAAATATAGTAAAGTTGTTCTATTTAAAGGTCACACTGCAAATTCTTCCATAAGGAGTTAAAAATTGTCAACTGATACAGATATGATTCAAAGTGTGACAACAACCATTGAATTTCAGTCCATTAATAATTTTGTACCATTTTATCCCTCACACCTATTTAGTAGAAACTCTTAAAAAGTGTCTAAGAAATGTTGATATCTACTCCCGGACACTTTTTGGAAACTAGTTGAGAGCAGTAAACATTTGTGAATCGTTGACCTGTGGAATAAACTAGTCTATGGAATCAATGTGAAATTTGGAGTGAACTGGGTCAGGAGGGATATCAAGTTCACTTTTCATTCAGGAAAATTATGTATGTAAATACACTACCAGGACAAAAGTATTGCAACACCCAAACGAAAATGGCATCCAAAAAATGGAAGTTTTGTACACTAATATCTTTAGGCTGAAATGTTCTCCTTAAAAGAGAAAATAATCATGCTAAACCAGTAGTCATATTCTTTGAAATTTAACGAGGATTTCGGAATATTCAGAATTACAATATTAACCTAAGAAATCTTACAAGTATAAGAAAAAACATCTGCAGGTAAAATCAAAATATCGAGAGGATAAGGAGTTAGTAGTTGTGATAAACTTCGTGTAACTGGTCTTTTACTTTAAAGATTTCGAAACTTTTTACAGAAAATGAAAGCAAAATAGTAAGAGATCAGGAAACAACAAATCAATTCAATATTTGCGACTTTTTTAGCCCCAAAATTTTCCATTTCACCTTGGGTAATTGTTTGGGGTACAGTTAGGCCCATATAAATTAGTAAATCATAAACTAGTGACGTGCGAGTTAATGCAGTGAAACATGTCAAAATAATGCAAAACAGTATTTTTGGTGGAATCAAATCAATGCTAGGAAAATGAGGAAGGCATTTTTTATCATAAAAAGCAATACATCCCCTTACAAGGCCATTTTTACTCAAATTTACCTGAAAATCTGCAAACTCTATGTCCTTCCTCGGCCATCACAAAGACCTAACCTTAAAATAAGCGAATATTTCTTGTTGCCAATAAAAATGAACTGATTTGAAATCCACAAGGTTCTCTAAGGTCCAAACAAAAACTGACTTAGAGAGTTTATTGAGAATGAAACAGAATCCCAGTGCATTTCATCAACAAATTTTGTGCATCAATTCCAAAGCAATTTTCCGTACTTATCAAAGCCAGAAGCACCTCCACAAAATGTTTGTTTGATTAAAAGTTACTTGAATTGCTGATTTAAATTTTTGAAAAATGAAAATGGAATATTTGAATTAACGCTTCATTGAATTTCCAATTTTATTTGCCTGCCATTGGCTGATTAAACAATAGCTTAAACAGACAACAACAAAAGTTATTGCATGATCCGCCATTAATCGTCTTCGCAGGTGTTGCATTACTTTTTTCCTGGTAGTGTATATAGGTAAAATTAGTTTATTGTTGTTATTATTAGTAGATTTGCAAAGTTATCATTGTTAATGTTAATTTTGTTAACTTGTAAAGTTTTCCCACAGCCCCTCAAATAAATCTCTTTTCATGTTTATTCATTTTATTTCTTAATCATGGTTGCTTGGTCAGTCAAAAGGGACTGTTTCCAGGAAGGCTTATAGGCTGATAACCATAGCAAAACTCAAATACAAAGAAACTTTATTGTTACAATATTTTTGAAATTGAGAAAGTATCAAAATGAAATTTACACTTGCAGAATATCTAAAAATTTCAGCCTGATTGAATATCCAAAACATCGTCAAAAATTAATTTCTCCATGATGTTGATATTTGGATGTTAATATAATGTTCTGATTTGTCTAAAATTTCTCTATCTTTCTAAGGTTTTCATTGTTGCTGGATCTTTTGGACTAGCAGAATTTACAGAGATAAAGGTGAAAAGGAGAGATGAAAAGGCCAGAAAGGTAATCAACTTGTTTTTTAAAAAGATTTAAACATTTTTTGGTGTGACGATAATACTCAGGGCTTTCAGTGGGGGGCACGCGAATGCGCAGGCACTCGCCCAGTGTTTCATTTGAGAGCACTAAAACGCACATCCAGTGATAAATATTTCTCTTGTAGAGAGCAATTTTCGGATGCTGTTAATTTTTCGTGATCCATTGCTGAAATTGGCCAGTCCCCTCGAGAAACTCCTTTTGGAAACAAAAACTCCTTTTTGAGGCTGATATGCTGTTGCCCTTCTAAATAAGGCTTGTTTGCATGACATGTGTTAGCCCACTTAAGTTGGCTGGTCTCCACACAGCATGTGATCGTTTTTGCAAGTGTTAACAGAATAACGTCATCTATCCCACTCAGATGGACTGGCATCTTATTTGAAATTTGTAAACGAGATTTATTGTTTTTGGTGCCATAATGATGAATATCAATTTTCACAACAATGGCGAATATCAATTTTATTTCTTTTCTTATTGCAAAATTGCCCGGGATTCTCGGTATCATATCATACGCCATGGTATAAGATCGGCAACCAACTCAGTTGTCCACTTGAATGGCTTTTTAACGACATTATCTATGTTTTGTGAGCTTATGCTACGTTTCATTCTTTCATTACCATTTTAAACTTATTTATACAGGGTAACAATTCAGTGTAGAAACCTGTTTTACAGTTGGCCCTGTGAAAAAAAATTATTAATAATACAGAGTTATTTTAATTATATAAATATAAAAATACAATATAATACAAGCTAAAAAAATAAAAAGAACGACATAGAAACAGAAAGAAGGACGGATTTGTCCATCTTAGAGACCGTTGTAAGTTATAAGTCTCGATTTAAAGAAATGGATGGAGGATGCCAATTTTGATTCTAATTCAAGATCTTTCCAAACTTTTGCGCCACGATTAGCGAAGGATTTTTGTCCGTAGGATGTTCTTATTCGGGGTAATAGCAGGTCAGTCTTCGAGTTACGAAGACCGCGATTATGGCAATCTGACAGTTTAGAAAAGCACCCTCAAAGGTCTTCTGGGGCTAGATTGTTCAGACATTTAAAGGCCATAGTTGAAGTTTCACGGTGAAGAAGTGTCTCGACTGTAGACCATCCTAAAACTTGAATCAAAGGTGCTGCAGATGTATCAAAATCACTGTTTGTTACTATTCTCGCAGTGCTTCCGCTTTGCTCAACCAAATTCCCGAAAAAATCCTTATTTTTGCTAAAAATTCCTTCCAAAATGTATAAAAGCTCTTTCCGATTTCCTTCTGCCCTATTACTCAATTTTTATTGCCCTATTACCTACGTTCGTTTTAGAAATAGCGTCCTTAATGAAAGTTACAACTACATGGGTAGTTATCAGTTATGCGGAGGATAATTTATTGAGTACCTTAAATTCTTGCTCCAGGGGGCTTATCAATTTAGACAATTTTTAGATTGGGGCCTATTCGAGGGGGGCTTATACGAGGGGTTGCTTGTAAAAGCAATCTCCAAGTTTCTATACAAATACACTCATTTTTTATAAGAAACAAAGGTCAATGTTGAGTACTCCAGTTTCTTAATATTCTAGAAATTTCAATACTCACTGTTCCTTAAGAGTTTCTTAATTATGATGTCATAAATGATGTTATGAAATGTTCGTGACCTTTTTTTCATGTCAAGAGATTTGCTTCGGTTCTGATGTTGTATTTAGATGTGAGAAGTATATTTTTATCCCTTGTGTTTTAATTTCTAGGCCATCAGGGCAATCATGTTCTTGGATTTTACAAAATTTCGTTGTTCTCAGTTTTATCGCGATTAAATAGTTTTTTAATTTTTTTGCTTCGAGTACTGAAGTTTCTTAATTTTTTCTGACTAGCCAGTACTCGTTTCTTATAGCCAGCGTCTTGTAAAAAAATGAGTGTAGCTCGTTTTGTACTTTTTCATGATGTTCAAGCTCATTAAATTTACAGTTTCACTTAATAACTCTTTCTAAAATATCACATCAAAGTCTAAATCAAAGCACAAAAAAAAATTTTAGTCCAAAATATTGAAATTTTTATTATCTTCGGCGGTTTCTTCGTAAATTATCTTTAATGGTGCACCTGTCAATTAAGCTCTATGGGAGACTAATAACTAATAGCGTGTTAGATAACTGACACCTGATAACGTGTTAGATAACAATACAACATCTCAGAAAACTGCCTAATGCGAACAGAATTCTGACAAACTTTGTTAATCATAAAAAAGTTTTTTAATTGGCATGAGAATATCGGGTTTGACAAACATTATCATATTTGCAGTGCGAATAGGGCCTTGTTACATGGGTGCAAAATTTGGCCTACTAGGATGGGAGTTTGGCCTCGTGTGGGACGAGCAAATTAAATCTGTTCAAGCCAAAGTCTCCCGCTCGTTAGGTTTTTAAAAATATGCAAAGAAATTTTTGCCAAAAACTGTACTTTGCAAATTATATAGAGGTATTATAGAGCCACATTTTCGGTACTGCTGTTCTGTGTGGGGGAGCTGTGCAGAGTTCCGACTGGTTAAGCTTCAGAAATTGCCGAATCGTGCCGCTAGAATTATTACAAAAAGCAGCTACGATGCTCCTACTGAAGCTTTGATTACAGAATTAAAATGGCCAACTGTGAGGGATATGATCAGAAGTGAGACTGCAACAACTGTATATAAATCTGTTAATAGTCTCGCGCCTGATTATCTCTCGCATTTATTTGTTAGAAATTCTGAACGCAATAGTATCAACCTTAGAAATGCCGAAACTGACTTGCTAGTGCCATTCATGAAAACTAGTAATGGACAGAAAGCGTTCGTATTTCGTGGAGCAAAAGTCTGGAATGATCTCAGCCGCGAGGCCAAGCAAGCTCCCTCTTTATCTTCTTTTAAGATAAGGGGTTTGTTGTAAATTCATTGTAAATAGTTGTAGATGAATTCTTTATGATTGTAATTAGTTTCCTTTTCCGGTTATTAATTTGAGTAGATTTTTTAATTTGTAAAGTTTTTGGCACGGCCCCCTGAAAATCAGTCATGACTAACGGGGCTACCGTGCATAAATAATTTTAAAATGAAAAAAAAATGAAAAAAGTTTATTTTGGAAACTTTATGTGGGGGGTCAACTCGTTTTTTTGGTCAAAGCTTGCAGAGACCTTGAGGAAACTTTAGGCTGGTATGAAGTATACGAATATGTCGATTGACTGACACAGCATTGCATCAAAAGGAGACAGCAGACATAGTATCTAACAACTACAATCCCGGACATAAATGGGTGAGACTTTTTAAGGAAAGCTTATATTTTCATTTTCTTTTAAAAAAACAACTCCCCCTCTTCCCCCAATTCAATATTGAGCGTACGATTTTGAAGGAGAAATAATAGAACTACAAATCCAACATTGCTTCGGGTGAAAAGGGGGGCTTGGAATTTACGGGGGCAAGGTAAAGTAGAAAATTACAAAAATTGCATTTTGTCTCAACATTTTTGTCCGGGATGGTAGCTTTGCATAATGAATCAAATTACAACAATTGCTTATCAGTTGGAGGTGTCACTTTGCTTTAGCCGTTCAAACATGCGAGAAGTGAAAGCTCTAAAGGCCGATTTCCGCTAGGCGAATTCTTTCGCGCGAATCGAATAAATATTCGTAGCGATAGTGTAGGACCGTGATTTACTTTCTACGAATCGAATTTTTTCGCTGCGAAATCTGAGAACATGACACCACGCATGCTCACATTGGCAAAAATTCGATTCGCGCGAAAGAATTCGCCTAGTGGAAATCAGCCTTAAGAGGGCCGAGAGCACAGTGACAAAAATCTTTAGTATTCACTTTCTAGATATTTTGTCGTATTTCCACAAATTCCTCTCAACTTCTTAGAAAATCCTTCCAAATTCCTTCTAATTTGTAAATTCTTCTTTTATCCTTCCAATCGACCAAAATTCCCGAAAAAAGGATAAATCCTTCCAAGTTGAAGCACTGTATTCTCGCTGCCCTGTTTTCGAGTTTTTGTAATTTATCAAACCTGGTGGTCCCACAGGAGCCCAATACGGAGCAACAGTAGTTGATTTGGTGCCAACTTCCTTTACGCGCAATGACATTCAGTGAGTGAGCTGGCCCTTTTGGCTACCAAAAGCGCCAGGCCGGAGGCCAAGGCCCCCTGGACCCTCCTTAAAACTGCCACTGGCTCGTAGCAAAGCTCAATGACATAGGGACAGATGCAGAGTTTCTTAACAGCCACATGCACCGATTTCAACTGAGCAATGATGAAGGCACCGCGGAGCGATGAGAAAAGTGGGGGGTCTAAAAAAGTCCGGGGGCTAAAACTGAATAAAAAGAGGTTTTACTGGTAAGCAGGGGACAAATGAAAGCACGAGACAAATCGCCAGTACCTTACCGTAAAAGCTACCTTGCAACTCATTACGGGAAAGAAGTGGTTTGGAGAGCGTGAAGATTACAACGGTGTTCTCCCGAATGAGATTGATGGATACCCAATTTTGGTCGGACGGGAGTTAATATGGAAATGACGATATCGTCACATTAGCCTTACACTTTCAAGAGCCACTAGCTTTTACAACATACGACGAAGAAATGTTTTTTGCGAGAATAAAAGAGTTTTAAGAACTTCGTGCAAAGCTACTTTCCTAAGTTTCCTAATGAAGAACATTTATGGGAGTCCGTTCTACCCTATCGCCACGACAAATTTCCAAACCTGTGCATGCCTTGTTATGTCGATTTCTTCCTCCAATTCGGAGGTTGAAAGAGCAATATTCTCTGAGGCGGAACTTGCAAATTTTTAGCAATGAAGTATTTTATTCATTCTAAAAAAAGCGTTTCAGTTTAAAAAAATTTAATTATTTGTTTTTTGAAATAAATTTAAATCTCGCGCCCCACACTGATCATGCGAGTTTTTTGACACGCGCGTCAATTTCTGAACGTGCACTGTCATCTGTCATTGGACAATACATCTATCTATCTATCTATCTATCTATCTATCTATCTATCTATCTATCTATCTATCTATCTATCTATCTATCTATCTATCTATCTATCTATCTATCTATCTATCTATCTCTCTATCTATCTATCTATCTATCTATCTATCTATCTATCTATCTATCTATCTATCTATCTATCTATCTATCTATCTATCTATCTATCTATCTATCTATCTATCTATCTATCTATCTATCTATCTATTTTTTAGCATCGTTGTAGCGGCTGTATCATCAAACTGTACAACAATGATAATCAGGAACGTCACTTTTGAAGGAGGTTGGGGGTAGGGAGTGGGCGGAAAGATCGTTCAGGAGTTTAGTGAAGGCGGCCGCCATCGTTGGCGGCAAAAACTTGCAAAGAAGACGTGCTAGGGATGGTCGGAAAATGCATCCAAATATTTACAATATCACTATAGACTCGTGGAAAATCCTTGAGAATACCTATAAACTTTCTTCCAAATATGGCCCCAAGGCCGTAGCGAGACAGGCCTTGTTTGGGTTTACTACGAATTTGCCGGATTGAAAATCATCCTCTGCAATACATTGTGTCGATTTACAACATCTATTTACATATAATCATCAGACCTTCCAACCCTTTAGATCCATATATCGGAACAAACCCAAGATATAACTACACTGTCCGGGCGGCACCCCTTGCCGCCGAAGGAGAAAAACTTTGAATTTTAATGCTTCCAGTTTGCTGGAAAATGCACTTTTTGAAGCACTTTTTCAATAAAAGCAAGCTTTCTCTTCAATAAATATCCACAGGCTGAAAGCTATTTGATGGTTTTAATCGATTTTTCCGGTGTCGTTGTTAAATCTTTTAACTTATGCAACACACATTTCTTTAGATTGGGACATAGTCTCTCCGCTTTTTTTTCCTAGCATTTCTTTTCATTGAAGTATATCATAACTTCTTGCACCCTCTCAATATTTTTATGAAATGGCGCCTTATCTGAACTTCTACCTCCAAGCCAAAATTTGTTTTGACGGGCTCCTTAAAAACACTCCCAAACCCTACCTCGGTACGCCCATGGTATCTACTTTGTGTAAAAAGCATTTAGATTTAGCGTGGGATCTTGAGATGGTCTTTGACGATCGTTGCTCTGTACATCAAAGTGAGTAAGGAAAAAGAAGTGGTATGTTGCAAGGTGATTCTTGTTCTCTTCGAAGCGATTTATCGTGAATTTTTATACAGTGTCTGCCTTTAGTATTGTTGTATTCTTTTATGTAAATTGCCCTAGTTCGGTAGCCGTTATAACGTGAAAATTCATTTTGGCGCCCCTGATATTTGACCTTGCCCCCCCCCTGCCAGCACGCTACTGCAATACACTTGATCTGTGTTTAGCTTTTTGCGCATTCTTGATGTTTTTATTCTTTATTCTTGCACAAACCCTTCTATGTTAGCAGCATTAAAAGATGAGTATATATTTTACAAAAAAACTGAGTCTATAAACAATTTTTTTCTGCTCATTTTGCTTCATTTTAGCATTTACCAAAAGATTACTCTTTATAACTTTGCAGTCGCTATTGCATCTTTTTCCTAAGTATTTTTGCCCTCTGTGCCTCTACCTGTTGATATTGCATAATGTGGGCGGCCTCGTTGTGGAATGCCACTTATATTTCCATTGAATTCGCAGCTGTCGGCCGATGAAGCCTCTAAGTTTGAAAAAAATCGAAGGAAGACACCATTGAGCATTGAACACGTGTATCAGGTACATGAATTTTGCTAAAACTTTACTTAATCTATGCGTAAAATAATGATAATAAACCTTGGTTTATGATCTCTCCACCAATTATGTATCTGTTTGAGTTACTGAGGTATTCTTTCAATAAGACTAAAGCTTAAAGGGCCTTTCCTTTTTTAAAAAGACTGTGCCAAACGTTTTAATTAACTAAATTTTGTGTGACAAACCTTTATACCATTTTAAGAATATTATGTTGATTTGATTATTTTGAGACTGTTTTAAAATCAGTTTTGTTGCCTAATCGACAGAAAGTTCAAGAGGACCTGGACATTGATGTTTGGGAGAACAAGAGAGGACCACGGCCTTGGGAAGAAAGTAAAAGTAAAGAGAGCTAGACAATTTGAATTCAGCTATTGATTTTAATTATATTATGACAGCTAGTCTTCTAATTCAGTTTACTCGTATTTTCTAGAAGTGATCAAACAAAATAAGGTTCGTGTTTCTAAGATTCTAGAATATAATTTCTAGTTAGAAATCTAAGATTCCAAAATATAATTTCTTCTTGGTATATGCACTTGGTCCCAGATGTAGATCGCTCAGTTAAATATGAACTTTAAGGAAATACATGAACGCCACAACTTCCTTGTGTGCTGGTTATATCTCATTAATGTTTGGACATCTTTGCCAGGACATTGATTTCAGCATTAGTAGCCATGTCTGGTGACTAAATCTAGAAGAATCACCAGAAAATTTAAACGTTTCAGAACTTAGTATTTGCATCTTTGTAGGGCGAATAGGACAATTTCCTAAATATTTACGCTGCATTTCGGTAGAGTGTAATATAGTGTAAATTTTGATTCGATATCTGTTAGAATTATTCAACAATGTGTATACTTTTATATTTGCTTTTTCGTTGTAGCATCTTCTGAGATGTAAAGTAAACTAACATGTGAATATTAAACAATAAAGATACAGGACAAAATGTTCTCTAATTAGAGAAAGACAGATTCGCAGGCAATCTTTACTTTATAGTCATTTCTAAATTTTTTTCTCGATCCAAATCACCTAAACACTAGTTTTTTGTGTGTAGTGAATTAGTTATAATCTTAAAATGACAGCAAGGATGACATATTAAAAGACATATTGTACTTCAAGAACCAAAAGTGACATCAGTAACATTTCCTATGGTACATTATGCTACGAAAGATACAAAGGTGCCTGTCATAAACTAGAGTTTACGAAAAGAAAGAACGTCACAAACCTTGATAGCTTTCTAGTGCATCCTTAGGCTCAGAGCTTCCTTTGTTCTTATTTGCTTTTTTCTGTGATACAGACAAATAAAATTAAAACTTTATAAACACAATATATACAGTATGAATACGCGGAATCAATAAAAATTTTCAAAATGGCTTTAGAATATACTGCTTAGGGCTAGGCAGACAGCATTGCATTTTGCAACTTTCTCAATCCAGCACAACGTCAGTCTCTGCTACCGGATGTCCAAACAAGGCTTCCCGCGATTAATTCTTTTATACTACGAAATTTCAACATGACATGAAAAAAGAAAACATAACCCCACTATGCTCGAGTAATTTTCCTCGTTAAAAAGTCAAGATCCCGTTCGTCCCACCCTTTGGACAATTTCTGAAAGGAACAGTGTAAACATCTATCCCAGACGATTTTTTAAGGCGGTTTTTTTTTCAATACAGAACGAGGTGGTAGGTAATTTAGAAATACTGCATCTATTTTGGAAATGTTGCGCTTCACACGTTGTCTTGGCAATTGTCACTTATATTAATGGAAGTGAAGTGAAGACATTTCAGTATTTTATTAATGTTTGTAGTAGAGGACTGTGCAAAAAGAATTGTGCATAATGTTTAAGGAAAGTTAAGTGTTTTTAGAGAATGTTAGAAAAGGGATATCGCAGGATGTTACTGGGCAGGATTAGGATAAATTACAAATATATCAAGAATTGTCGACTCTTTGGTACCGGGAATGAAGAATCGTTCAAAGTGAACACTGGGATTAAGGATTTGCTATCTCTTTTTTTCAATCAAGAGACATTTAAAGAAATGGACACTTTGGCTCTTCAATAGGTGACTTCCGCTCGACAAAGAAAGGGATCATGCCGTGAATGAATAGTGAGGACGTATTACCCCACAACAACACATTGCGCTTCGTCTTTTGTAGTGGAAGCAATTGCAGCAGCAATAAATAAGAGAGATTTCCTTGTCAAGTCAATCTACCTTCAGCTTTGGAACTGGTACACCCAACAAATTGCATATAGCATTCCGTCGTTCACGTAGCTCCTCGACATTATCGTCCCTAGAGAAAATTTATCGTGATTCAGCGTAAGTTAAAAAGAGAAAATTGCACCAAAAATATGCAGGAAAATAAAAATCAAATATAAATGGAAATTCAGGGCTACTGCAGTTCGACGAGCTATATTTTTATCATCATGTTTTGGAGACTCAGATTGCTGACTTTAAATCAACCGTAGTAAGGATAATGAAAGAGGAAGTAACCATGGGACCATTTGTGAACTTAACAAAGCAATTGTAAACTTCAAGCTTTGTTTCGTATGTTTCTTTCAAAAAACAAATGCAAATACCACCTGATTGCAATGAAAACAGACTACTGGGAAGGATTCTAATATCTTAACATTGCGTGATTCTCTTTCAAGGACAAAAATCTTTTGGGTTAAATAAGAACCAGATACAGAAGCCAGAGTAAAAATGCAGAAAAACTTTAGAAGTTAAAAGATGGGGTCGTTGAATCTAAATTATCGTTATACCTTAGCATTCAAAACTGCCAACCTACACGCTATATAATTGCCAACCTGTACGCCTTTTCCCTCTGCATTGCAAGCTAAGAACGTAGGGTTTTGCACTGGCTCGCCGGCAAATGAAATGCAATGTTAAAATATCGTAAAAATCTCCTTAGGTTATCTCCGTAGGCTTGTAACTTGAACAGAAACCACCGTGAATGAAGATTGTTCCGCCACTGATAGCTTTATCAAAAAGGTCGTATGAGAAATCAATCAGGCAGGGGAGAAATAAATTCATACCACTCTGTATCACTTAATTTAGTCAGAACTTCTTCCAAGTTTTCTTCATCAACAACCTCTTCGAATGTAATCAGCGTTGTATAAAGAGTCTCAGCTGTTTCCTTCCTAACCTGAAAGACGAAGAAAAAGATAGATTGCTTGTAAAGTTGGTTTTAATTTCATTCCAAGTTTCAAGAAATTGAAAAGAGAATGTATTGCTACTAAATCATTACCAGAGGATACTTTTGGCAGAGGAACAGCATGAGCTGCGACAATGAGCGGCTTCGTCCTTCACCGGAAAATTGAAGAAGCCCACAAAACCTAAAATATTGAGAGACGTTAAAGAGTCTGACACACTCACCCGATTTTATACTGGGCTAAGAAATCATTTTCTAAGCTGATGAAATAAATCTTCCTGTGAACGGACCGATGGAAGAACAATACTGGTTATAAAATTGTTCAAATATATGTATATATATTACTCTCAGTTTTATATAGGATACATAATTTATTTTGTAACTAGGATTAATACTGATTGGGTATCGCTAATAAATAAAATAAAATGATTGAGAAAAATAGTGGATGCAATCGTGGATCTCTCAAAGGGGGTGGATGATGTAAGAAAGTTTATATATTTTACTAAAAATCTTTCACTTCTGAAAATTATCAAATAATAAACCATAAGGGAGACGTGAATCTTAAATAGACCATTGCACGTGGCTGCGTGACATGGAGCAATATCAAACCTCAGGGCTATATTCGACTTAAACATGATAATGCAATTAATATTAAATGCTTTTAAGGTCAACATTCCTGAAAGTACGAGTAACAGATTACCCACACTTTTATACTGCTCATCAATTTCTTCGTATCCCCAGATCCAGCAACTTCGCATTTCAAAAGTGTTGCCAGCTTTTCTGAAAATTCGCTCCTGCAATGAACCATTCCCAAAGTAATGCTTTCAAATTTTTTTGTAGATCAAAGGGATCAATAGCCTGGCAATCAATTTCATTACTGGAGTTGAACAAAATCACTCAAAAATTCCAAGGTAAACATTTTTGAGCAAGTTAAGACTATAGTAGGAATAATCACAAAGAGTTAATGCGTAAAAATACAGAATATATCGATGTGCAATGATTAAGCAGGGGAAAATTCAGATCAAAGACGTACGCTGATTCCTCTGTCAACATATCAAAACATCCGTTTGAAATTAAAAGATCAACCATTCTCAACATTGGAAGTACGACCCTGCAAGATACAAGTTTTGCAATTAATAAAAACTTATACTGAATTTGAACAAACATCTATCAACGGCTATTACGTACCTTCCATCTAAGAAACTAACACCGTGAAATTGACAGCAATTGCGTGTCGTACAATTGCTGCATCGCAAATTTAGAAGTTCATTCAAATAATTTGTAGTGTCCAACCCTTGAAAAAATGAGCATGGCCACAAGCGTGGAATTAAGTGAAACTGAGTCTTGGTCAGGGCACCAAACACCAGAAAATGATATCCTTGAGATCCGCAGGAGCCACCCAAATCTTATGCCTAAAGACAACTGTGGTGGCAATAAAAAAGTGAAATGATTTGAATTGCGCAATCTGATACCTGTCATTCTTTTTATTTTCTTCTAGAATGGTTAATATTTCGCTGGTAAATTCGTTCATCTTTTTATTGCTGAAATGAAAACAGCCGCAATTTGAAATTGTGAGACATAGGTGCATAGATGTTTAAGGATAGATGCTTCAGGAATGATTTATTCGCTTTCATTGGAATATGTAAGGTCTTGTTAAATAAGGTAAGGAATATGATAAATTCCTTTATGCTAGCCTGTGCAGCAACAGAGCATTTTGCAAAATCACTGTATTCGATTGGATCAACTTGAAAATTACCTCGACAATAACAGTAGCTTGAAAATAATCTGTCGATTTAAGATGAAAATTGAAAGTAAGTACTTTATCGGAATTTTCTCTACTTTTTATAGCAAGCATTACCTCGATTGGATGGAACCTATGTACTGAAGCAACGATTCAGATGAATGACGAACCTGTCCAGAGAAATCGAAAATTCACAATTGTATCCCAGTGACTTTAACAAACGAACGAAGAATGTACTTCTTCAGGGTCACAATGTACCCAGAAACTTTGGACCTAACTAAAAACATGACCCTAAAAATAATCAGAGCTTCAGTCAATGTGTTCATCGATTTATTGACACAAGTCTTTTTCCCAAGAAAAGAAAACATTTGGTTACCATGGAAAACAAATTCAGGGAGGGAGCGTTTGACTGTTACACGCTTAAGATGGCAAGAAGGCATGTGCACCCTGCCAAAGCGAATGAGCCACAATATGCCCTCGGAGATACAGAACAACAAATAAAGGTAAAATGAATTACGAACGACAAGCTACAATAAATTAAGCACATCAACTTACCAAAGATTCAGTTAATCCACCAACGCTGACAGTAATTCCAAGAAGGACGGAATGACGATAAGCAGGAAGAGGAAGAAGTTTGATTATATTTGAAAATGCAACAGATGGAACTGTCCAGTTGAGCTTCTCAATGTCTGACCTAGATTCAAATTGATATGCCCTTTGAGAGTAGGCCGGTTTTACTAGAAACTATTTTTATTCTTATCATAAACGAACGCTTTTCCAATCAGCAGATAAGAAAAACTGTTTAAGAACACATTTAAGTTTACAGAAAATATTATTAAGAATTTATTTATCAAGATTTCATTAAAGATTTCAATAATTTATATCTAAGACTTGGTATATTAAAATGTAGATGTTTGACTTACTCTGGAAAAACTTCTCTTAGTTCCTGGTGGTGCGGTATGTCTGGTAAAGGTGGCCTGTAACAAAATTGATACACTTCTGTTCAAAAATGTGAAATAGGATACATCAAGATATTATGCTGAAACGGTAATCCGCAGTTGTTTGGGAAATTTATTCGACATTTGTTTATTTTTGGTAATTTAAAGTTTAAAGGCATTTGACACAGGTAAAAGTGGCTGACAGCCACTCGACCACGAGCGGTTGACCAATCAAATTGCGCACAGAGTGAAACACGTGAACAGTTTCCGCCATTCTGCAAATCGGTGAAATCCTAGAGCAGCGCGCAGTGGTTTCACGTGAGCAGTTTCCAATTCCTTTCTTGTGCGCGTGCTCTGGTCAATTTGTTATTTTTGGATTCGCTGTACTTATGCATGTCAAATGCCTTTAATTTGTTCAATCATACTTAGTTAAACTGTGTCTAGAAATAATAACAAAAGCCAAGTGCATTAATTTTCAAGTTGCAGGGCTTACATCAGTCAACAAAAATATCAACATCTGATAAAAAAATAGATAAAAAAAATTAACTAGTATGGTTCGATAATAATCAAAACAATTTTAACCAAGATGGCGCCTGGAGATACTGCAGTTTACGTAAAACTCACTTCATGTGGACCATGCGTAACAAGGTCTCGCCAGCGTGACCTCTTGTTCTGTCTATCTTCTCTGCCGACTGCTGCACCAAACAGCAGAAAACTCTAGTGCCTCTGTTGAAAGTTATTCAATTTGTTAATGATCCCGTCCAATACCAACCATAGTGGCTGGTTCGCCTACTTTGCTATACCCTTCCTTGCTAAAAAAGGGCATTGGCATCTCTCTATATAAATATATCATTTTCTTCATTCACTTTCCCTTGATTGTGATGGGAATGGTCTTAAAAGGAAGGACCTTGAGATCTGCAACCGTCTACACAGAAGCCTGTGCTAAATGAGAAATAAGTGTATTTAAGGGGATTTATAATCAACTGGGATGGGACGAACTTTCCCTGCAGTATGAGCTTGTGAGACCGTCGTATAGCTGTTGGAATACTCTGTTATAAAAATTTATACCAAATGCACATAACAGGTGTTCTTTGCTGAAAATCCTTACCTTAATTCAAGCAATCAAAACTCAAATTTTAAATAAATGCCAAATGATAAAAATATCAATACTGTTTTCATATAGATGATCTTTCAGGATAAATCTGCAAGGTACGGTTTCAAACAAGCGTTAACTTGAACTTCGAAGTTCTGATATGAACACTGATCAAAACATGCATACGATGCACACGAGGTATAACCTCCATCCAAGTTGAAAAGTTGAATATGCTAAAATTCATGACGTTATGGATAGAACTGAAAGTAAATATTGGCAAATCACATACAAGTTTTGGGGACATATCGACACATCTTTTGCCACCATCAACTTGCATAACTTCTCGAGCCCAGTCATGGCTTCTTCACGAACCCTGTAAAACAAACCACTATTTACTCAACTATAACACAATCGTAGTTATAAGTATATGTTCAATTATTGAAAGATCGTCCGAAGAATGGAAACAATATCAAGTCTTTTCCAAACAAAACCTACACGAGAAATGTCGAGTGGCTTGGGTACTTGGTGTTTTGATCTATCAATGGTAAGACAAACAATTTTCAACTTGACATACCAAGCCCCAACATCACCTCTGCTGTCGACCGAATAATCTTGCATCGATGTGAAAAAGCTTTCAAGTATTTTCTGAAGTTCTGCCTCGTTTATGCCATTGTTTTCTTCTCCAGTTGTTGCAAGGCCAAGTTCTTCGCAGATTCTAAGAATTTTTAGAAGACATGTCACTGTAAATCTGAAAGTTTACGCCCGCTAGGTCAATGACATATAGGTATAAAATAAACAAGAGGATGAAATTGGTAAAATATAACCTTGTTAATGCCTTCACTGCATTCCTTCTTGGCTCTGCGTATATTCCGGCAGTTTTCTCTTGAATAACAAGGGACTGAAGCAACCCATCGATGATCTTAAATGAACACAACGAAAAATTAGAAGCACTAAACGACATTAGGCATATGCCGTAGATCTATTTCCAGGATATTCCTCTCTCTTCCCAGCTTAAAGGGGAACTGAAGTGAAAAATGAAAATCATTTAATTAGTAGTTTTCATCGTGCTGATTTCGAATATCGACACGAAATTTGTGTTTTTCTTTTCGTTTTCCTGCATTTAACGCGCAAAGTGTGAAATTTCTCCATTTCCGTGGCGGAGAGGTCTGGAGACAAGTTTCAGGCGCTGACGTAAAGTCGTGGACACGTGCCCCGAACCTAACGAAAACAACAGTGTAGTAGAGTGAATCGGAGGGAGGGAATTTGGTTAGTAGGTAAAATTTCAGATCGCAATTTTCACGACAGCTCTTCAGGAATGACAACAGACTTAAGATCGAGCGACGATGAAGTGTTTGGAGCATGTTGTGGTGAAGTACTTGCCCTACCAAGGGCGAACGGGACCTGCGAAAGTGGCGATGAAGATTAGCCTAGGCCCGATGAGATCCCAGAGGATGAGGATGAATTATCTCCCGCGACGTGCTCGTTTTGTTGGTAGAAATGAGGAAGTAAATAAATGGTACGTCGATCCTTGCAATGAAGGCAAGAAATACTCAAACTCAATTTCCTTATTTCCTTATAAAAAGTAAGATACAACAGAGAATGAGTAGGCTTCCTATTATAATCTTTCCATTTCTAAAATCTGAAATAATAAAGATTATTACATGTTACAATTTAATAAATATTTGCTTTGATATAAAAACGTTTATACATAGTTTGATGTGTAGCACGGAACAGGTCGACCTAATCCACTTTTGGTTTAAAAACTGGTTTGTTTTGTGTACATTGACAAGTATTATTAAATCTTCCTGCAATTCAGATTTTTGGACTGATAATTCGAAAATGTCAAATATTTAATAGAATTGCATAAATATGCCTAAACTAGAATAATACCTAAAATTATATCCACTTTGCTAGGTATCTACAAACAGTGGCCGATCAATGTATGGTTTGCTGGTTTTTGGGTATTTGTGCTGGAATAACTGGACAACTTTAAGTATGCATTTATCACAAATGTAAAGAAAAGAACATTAGTCAAAGAAGACAAGAGTTTCAAAATTCTGCAGAGAGACAATGAAAATGCAAAAATCAGCTACCTACTACATATACAGTGGAGAACAGGGTTATATACACGGGGTTATTCAAAAGGACCAGACTTTTAGTTCATAATAGCAAGAAGAGAAATTTGTTGAAACTAGTGGGACACTGGCCAAATCTTGTCAGCCCTAGGCCAAATCACTAGCTTAGTCACATCAAGGGGGGGGGGGGATTGAGCAAGGCTTGATATTTTTAAGATTCCTAAGGTGTACTTTTCAACATAGTTCACTCACATCAAAATGTGTAGAATAGTTTGGATTTGATCAAGATTTTCTCTTACAACAATGGTCCTGTACCACCTTCTTGGTAACATTTTTTATAAATAATCAGAGGAAAATGTTTTACCTTCAGGGTACAATGTTCTGTTAATGTATTCTGTCACTGCCTGTTGTTTAGATACACTGTTTTTAAATTTTGAGAATGAAGTTTTTTTGTGCCCAATGGTTGTATTTTTCTGAAATTCGCTTCAACTCAACATTTAATAAACTTGGAAACATACACATCATTTAATGGTTGTGCTTTAAATCCTCCCCCTTTATGTACATCCTGGTATGAATTGTTTTTTATGCCTGGAGTTAAATCAGAAAGTGCTTTGATATCATGTTCTGTAGACAAAGCATGAGAAATCATGTTTGAAGGGGTATTTCTGAAGTGGGGGACCACTTTTATCATTTTCTGCAAGTAAATTGTGTGGGTTTGCCAAGTTTCATGGCTGTATACATAACATACTAACATATTCTGAGTACTGGGCACAAGTATCCAGTCTAAAAATAGTACAAGGGTAGTTCTGAGGATGGGGACCATTTTTATCTTTTTCAGCCAGTCAAATTGTGTAGGTTTCCCAAGTTTCATGGCTGTATGGTTAACAGAAATATATTTACCATACTATTGTATTCTGAGTACTGGGCACAAGTACCCCAGTCCAAAAATAGCAAGAGGGGCATTTCTGAGGGTGGGGACCATTCTTATCATTTTCAGAAGCCAAATTGTGTCGGTTTGCCAAGTTTCGTGGCTGTATAGTTAACAGAAATAGATTGACCATACTGACGTATTTTGAGTACTGGGCACAAGTACCCCAGTCTAAAAATAGCACAAGGGGCATTTCTGAGGGTGGGGACCATTCTTATCATTTTCAGCAAGTCAAATTGTGTCGGTTTGCCAAGTTTCATGGCTGTATAGTTCGCAGAAATAGATTGACCATGCCAACATATTCTGAGTACTGGGCACAAGTACCCCAGGCTAAAAATAGCACAAGGGTTTTTTTCCCAAAATGGGTCAATATTCTATCTTGTTACGCATATCGAATTCTGTATTTTCACCAAGTTTCATGCTTTTATCACAATTTTCACGATTGTTACCTGTCATGAACCTTATCAAACTCACTACTACATTTCATCAAAACATCTCTTCGTGTCCACCACTTTACGTCACAAGGTCACGTGACACAGTGGTCTGACCGCGTTCTCGCTCCGCCATCGATGAGGGCAAATTTCGACTTTAAAAACTTAATAACTTAAAAACTACATAACGTATTTAAAAAATTCAAACGGTTTTTGAATCAGCACGGGAACCTTTATCAGTGGTAAAAAAATCGTTTTTCACTTCAGTTCCCCTTGAAATTGAGTATAAGTCATAAATTAGGGAATTCTTGAAATTTTAGTTTAGAAACAAGCTTATCTGGGAGGCCTTTTAAACTGTCTCTTCATACCGACACGAAGCTAAATGTGAAGTTACATGTGAAAGGATACATGTGACAGGATACATGTGACAGGATACATGTGACAGGATACATGTGACAGGATACATGTGACAGGATACATGTGACAGGATACATGTGACAGGATACATGTGAAAGGATACATGTGACAGGATACATGTGGCAGGATACATGTGACAGGATACATGTGACAGGATATATGTGACAGGATACATGTGAAAGGATACATGTGACAGGATACATGTGACAGGATACAGGTGAATGGATACATGTGAAAGGATACATGTGACATGTGACAGGATACATGTGAAAGGATACATGTGACAGGATACATGTGACAGGATACATGTGACAGGATACATGTGAAAGGATACATGTGACAGGATACATGTGACAGGATACATGTGACAGGATACATGTGAAAGGATACATGTGACAGGATACATGTGACAGGATACATGTGACAGGATACATGTGACAGGATATATGTGACAGGATACATGTGAAAGGATACATGTGACAGGATACATGTGACAGGATACAGGTGAATGGATACATGTGAAAGGATACATGTGACAGGATACATGTGACAGGATACAGTTTAAAGGATACATGTGACAGGATACATGTGACAGGATACATGTGACAGGATACAGGTGAATGGATACATGTGAAAGGATACATGTGACAGGATACATGTGACAGGATACAGTTTAAAGGATACATGTGACAGGATACATGTGACAGGATACATGTGATAGGATACATGTAATGATACTAGACGCTGGAGAGTCTGATAACAAAGTAGATCAGACATCAATGTAGAAACTGTGTTCATTATGCTTCACTGTTGAACCTAAAGTGGGTAGGTAGTTTAAATAGAAGGAAACTAGATGGATAGTGACTCACTTTGGTCTTACGTTCTTCGATCATGGATGCTGGCAAAGCCCCCAGGCCAAGGGCATATCCCATTCTACAAACAAATGATAAACTTTAGCAAGCAGGTTCCCCCGTAAGTTATATCAAAGCGAACATAAAAAAAGTTACGTCATCTTAAATCAATTAATCAATATTCGACATTGAAAAATTAACAGAGAGAACACGATCATTTAGTTCGCAACCAAATCCCCTTTACTTTTCAAATGACTATGCTACCTTGAAAGTTTCCCTGTTTTAAATTTTCAATTATTTGGGATGCAAGGGAAAACCTCATGACGAAATAGCATTAAAACAGCATTTTACTGGGGGTAAACATTAAACGTGAAATTTCGAATCCTAGATAACAAACAAAGTGTAACTCCTCACACTAGAATAACCTTCCAACCTAACGTCTTAATTTTTACAACACAGGAAGACGCACAAATTCAAAGGAAAAGAAACACAAAATAACTGGAGCCTTTTCGAAATGTTTATGTTGTCAACATCCATTTGCGAAATTCTTATTTTTTAAAAATGAACTTTAAAAAAGTGAAAAAGTCTTCAAAACAAATTATCTGTATGGTGTCGTTCAGATAATTTTTTTTAAACCCCTTTCTCCTTGAAGCTCTCTATTCTAAAAATGTAAAAGTACTCGCCTGTCGAAGTGAAAGGAACTTTGAAGTTTCTCCAAAAAGCGATCAACCAATGAATTACCTAACAAAGGAGAAATGAGGTAAAGACGCAGTACTTATTCCCGTTTTGGGATACATCTACAAACATTTACGCTTCTATTTTGCATTCATCTAGCTGTTCACCCAAGACTCTAGTTCGCAAACCCCCTCCAACCCCCCGTCCAAGAAGAATGATTGATTAAGCATTTATGCATTGTTATGCCCGTAATGTTGCCGGTTTTGAAACCAAAATTTAACGACGGTTTCGTTCGATAAACCGATAGATGAAAGTAAATTAGATGAAAGAGATACCTCAACATCTCGAAAAGTGAATGTAAAAAATCCATACCTGGCTCTTCTGCACCCTTTCTTCCGTAGAAACACTTGCACAATTCATGGAATGCTACCACGCCCATATCCTGAATTCAATTTATTCACTTTCAATAAATTAAAACCCCGCAAGCAGAGAGAAAAGTGAGTTCAGGATAAAAATGAAGAGGAAAGGGACATATTATTTTTCATCTCAAGATGTGCGATTTTTAAACTCAAAATTATTACAAAAAGCAAACACAATTTTTGTCAGATCAAATCATACTTGGATCCATGCTACTGTATGCGCCAGGCACTCGTCAATCATCTCCTGCCAGTCTCCTAAAAATGAAGTATCTGATTAGCCCAATGTAGACAAAAACTGATTGTGCTGCAATTTTTAAGTATTGGCATCAAAAGTATACTGTTATTTAATAGAGGTACAGGGAGTACTGGACTCAAAAGCTCTTTTCGACTCAAAAGCATCCCAAGCAGCTAACTCGTAGTAATAGTTTATCGATGTATTTATTCAGGTCATACCCTTTAGTAGTTTGTTGCTTAACAAAATTTGAAATTGAAATTCTTCAGGTAAAGGAAAGAAAAACGAGGGAAAGTGATTATTTGAAGATGGCATGAAATAGCGGAAACACAGCATACTAGTATATTAGAGTATTTTGCGGTACCAGTACTTATCCCCGACATTTATACCTGACTAACATTTTTCTCCAATTATATTTTTTAACCGAGTAGGCTTTTTCACCGATTTTATTTCGAAAAATATCTTTCGCCACTTTTCTCTAAAGGAAATGAAGCTGTTATTTATTTCATAGAATGTTTCATAATTAAAAATTATTTTATAGTTAAAAATGTTTCATAGAATTGCTTGTTTTCAGAGCAGTATAAATGGTTGAATGAAGTCCGAAAATTGTTTCAACCCAAATCTTCCAATTGCATAGCCAATGACTAAACTTTTCCCTGACTTAATTTTCCCGGCCCTTCCTTACCACAGTATCAAACAACACTTGGGGGTTGCTGTTAGTGCAATCTAACCTTCTGATTTGGTCTCTATCAATGTAATTATGAATATTATATTTTATCTTATTTGTTTAAATACATTCGATTTCGTAATCGTGTATTTATACGCTAAGACAGTATATATCTTAAATGTTAGATCAAATTGAAATTAATTTTCAGCAACATGATACGAAAAAAGTGAAGCATGAATGGCCACGCGAATTACAACATCCCTTTCCATAGTCAAACATTTCAAGTGGGCATTTCAAATGGAGCCTGTCACATATATCATAAAAATATTTATTTCTGATGGTTATACTTGTCATAAAAACATTGATTTGTTGATAACTAGCTAAAATAGTCTTACCTACGACAACGTTCCAGTTTATTGGTATTCGAGCCGCTGAAAACTTTTCAATCAACTTGCAAACTAGAAAAACAAAGTAACTTAATAACAAAAACTAGTATGAGAGACACTGTGCACTTTGGAATGTTTCCTCTGAAAACATATGGCAAGTTCAAATCCCATAATAAAAATTAGATACAGTTTAAACCAATTTAAATTCGAGTAATTGCATATTTAACTGAATGAAGACAGCCACAAGCGACAAGAAAACCATTTTATCATAAAACCCAAAAGCTCGTGCTTAGTAGGCAAGCAACTTGTAAACTACCAATTCTGTTCGACATCTTGAAAACTATCTCAACTTAAGAATTTCTTCTTGGGTTGTAAATAAGACTTGCTTTGTCGAAAAGGTTGAAAATGAGGAAGAAAAATTGAATACCTGCGGTTCTCATGAAGTCGCCCTCCAGGCCGCTAGAATTGACAAAATAATGAGAAAAGCAAACAAAATTTAAAGTAAATTTCCTCAAAGACGGTTAATAATAAGACGGCGAAAAAATCAAAAAGTAAAAAAGTAGAAATATAGGTAAACCTTCCAAGTTTTTAAAGTTAAATCAGATGTAGCATCATTTGGTCTCACGTATGATAACAGAATATCAAAATCTACATTTCTAATCAAATAAAAAACTGAAAAACTCACTTGAAATAGTTGTTTTCCTTTAACTGAAAAAGATTGCTTAAACAATTATTTTCTTGCAAATCGCATTTTTTCTTAAAACGTGATATGATCAATTCAAAAATAAAGTTGCCTTAGATAGAAATTGGTGGGAATATAAAAAAAATAATTTTTACTTACAAAAGATACGATATTCTCTATTCGATGTAAACTTTCACCATCTAGCAAGCCACTGCAAAAGCAAAATAAACCAAACAATCACAACTGAAAGTGGACCAACGAGCCAAAATATGAGCATTCCTAATTAGATGAAAATAGATACCTCTTATCGGCGCAAACGGAATAGATAGCCTCGCCGACTTCTGCGACTGCAAGCAAGGCACCATGTCTTGTATTCAAATCCGTTGAATTTATCAGCAAAAGGATACTTGGAAAAACTGCGGATAAATAGGCCAAACATTACAACAAGCAACAAAGTCTCAAACAACCGTTCATTGGTAGATGTCCCAATTAATACAACAAGGATGTGGTATAACTCTGTAACTCGTCAAGGTCCAATCGGAAATTTATTGTTGCTAATGCTGACACAAAAGCTTTAGCCTCGCCCTTGCAGATTAAAATCTCTTAGTAGAAGGTCGTCAAAAAACGTTTTTTTTAAAAGAGAGTTTAAAATGAAAGCAAAGAAATAGGGAGTTGAATGAAAAAGCTAGGAAGAGGCTTACCGTTGCACTTCATGTAATGAGGTGATACAGCTGTTAACTTCGCAAGAGACTGCGATGCTAATTGACGGACGTTCCTAAAAGTAAAGAATGTCAGTTGCCTCTGGTTGTATAACGTTTGTCGTGTTCGCATAGAGACTTAACCCTTTCAAGATGGTTTATGTAGAAGCAGATAACGGAGAGAGAAGTCAGCCTCACCTGTCCCAATGACAAACTTTGTAATCAACCAAATGGTCAATGATTGCTTGTGTATACTCTGGAAATTTGGCGACGAAAACACTAGGAGGAAAGACACCATAACAAACAAAGGGAAATAAAATATCAATGCAACAACTTTGGTATGAAACAAATGGTCACAATAATTCGTCATCTTATATTATGTTTGCATTTTTAAAGATAAAAATCAATGTTTACCGGTCGGTCTTATAGAGCTCGATGCCGTGTAGGCAAAGCTGTACCGTTGCCTTATGACTGCATTAAGCGTGGAACGTTGCAACATTCAGCGTTGCCACCTAAAACATTCCAGTTCTTTATATACAAAATCGATGTTTTTACTACAAACATGTTGCTTGGTTACCTGAGATTGATGTAACAGTTTGTGATATTTCCAACGGAAAAGTAATCAACAGTTGTGAGAATATCTATGCCATGAGGAAAAGTGCCCTTCAAAAAAACACGTATATTATAAAAATATATCGCAACTTTGGTAATACTTTGAAAATAAATTGCAAATTAAGTAATACTGTAAGAATATATCGCAAAGTCAGGGATTTATTGTGCATTAAATATATTTATCAATATTTACACAAGAATATTTACATCCTTTCAGCTTTAAAAAAAGTAACAAATTCATAACTTTTAGCAATATGTGTCTAGGGAAAACAAAATCGCTGCTCTACCAAAGAGACGTGTTTGGAATCTGTACGTTTGAAGGTTCACAATATACTCTCTTATAAACCCTGTTTCAAAACGAGCGATTGATTCTTTCTCTCGAATGCTGTCAGGGATATTGTTTCAGTTTTTGGCAGCAGAGAAGTAGCATATTTTTGGCAGCATATTCTAACTTTTTTGCAAATCTCTAAAATTTTCTATTCTATACTTTGAACTCTGGGATCTCTCAGCGAACTTATGACGAATTAGGTTATTTTGTCCTTTCAGATACACCGTTAATTAATCGTGTACAATTTTTTATAAAATGGCTTTGAAAAAAGCAAACGTTTGAGTAAACTAAAGCTTAATTGTTGTTGTTGTTGACGTCCGTTTTAATGCCCGCCATAACAACTGGTGTTACTCCGGCTAATTTCCAGGTCTAGGGAAAAAACCCTTTTTATGTACGAAGAATGAGTACATGAAGGGGGGATTTTGCTCAGCTCGATGGGTATCCATATATATATATATATATATATATATGTAGAATTGTTGCCAATTGTGTAACAATGGATCGGCATTTTGATGAGTTCAACAATGGACACATAGAAGCCGAATTCAAAGGCGGGAGACAATCGAAACAATGCAGGCATAGAATGGCAAAATCAAAGGATTTTCCCAATTTTCCCAAACGAACAATCGAGAATCGTGAGTTTCCCGATTAAGTGGGCAATTGAGGTTCGCTAATCGACACTTAGGTCTATAATCGGGCTATTAAATTGGGTTCGGCTGCTAGCCTGAGATCCCCTTTGTGGTCATCCTCTTAGATTCGACCAATCACCTTTAGATTTGCTCGTGACGTTGGGCAGTTAAAATTGGTTCTGCACGTGCATGTTGAACGGTGGCCAGAATAGATCAGAACCTTCTCGTAATTGAGAATGGTGCTTTCATCCTGTCAAGCGTCAACGTAATTAGACGTATAATTTGCAATTTGCTATGTAGGATACAAGAGAAAGTGCGGGAATATGCGATTTCACGAGTTTCTGCAAGAATTAACTTTCATGCATGAGTCGTGGAAAATATATTGTAAGTGTTTCAAATCTGTTTAGTTTTTCGCAAGTTTTGCAAAGTCGGTGAAAGTTATTCGAAGATTTCCAGGCTTT